TTTACATAACTTTAAAATAGGCAATTAAGATAGTTAGTCAAAGGACTTCTCATACTTTGGTTCAGTCTGCAATCAAGAAATCGGAAGACTAGAACTTGTAAGGGCAGAAATGAAAGAACTTGACAAAATCTTGAAGTGTAACAATATATACTAATCAGGATTGACTCTGCTTAGCTTCTAAGATCAGACAAAAGCTGGTGCCTTTAGGGCATTTAGGCAGTTGGAACCTACTCTGACTTCATTTTGTCAGTATTGACACACAAACCAAATAGTTCAAGGGTGTGTTATTGAGCAATAAGTGTTTCACCACAATAAGCTGTGGTTCTGGTAATGGCTGAAAACACAGGTGCTGATGAAAGAGGATTTTCCGTTTTCTAGGAAAAGTGGAATTTAGAGGGGATAAGCTAAGAGGAAAGAGAAAAAGGAAGGAAGGAGAAGGGAAAACATGGTAACACCTTTAAGACCAACATATTTTAATTTTAGCATACATTTTTGTGGATATGAACCCACTTCTACAGATGCAGTACAGAATGACATGATACATCTGAGGAAGTAGTTTTATATCCAAGAAAGCTCATGCTGAAGTAAAAAATAAGTTAGTCTTAAAGGTACTACCACATTCCTTCCCTCTCACTTCCTTCTTATGCTACAAGAGACTAACTCCGGTGGCACAATGGATTAAACCCTTGTGCCAGCAGGACTGCTGACTGATAGGTCAGCAGTTTGAATATGGGGAGAGCAGGTTGAGATGCCTCTGTCAGCTCCAGTTCCCCATGCAGGGACATGAGAGAAGCCTCCCACAAGGATGGTAAAACATCAAACATCTGGGCATCCCTTGGGCAATGTCCTTACAGATGGCCAATTCTCTCACGCCAGAAGCGACTTGCAGTTTCTCAAGTTGCTCATGACACGAAAAAACAAACAAACAAACAAAAACAAAAAAACAGCTACTTTGAAAAGTAAGAAGAAATGTTGTTCTTTTCCACTACTATTGTCAGGTTTCGCTCACTTATTTTAATGGCTCATCCAAACAAGACTATAAACTTATAACTGTCACAATCTGTTTTAGCTATAGTTCTTTGATCCCTTCTCAAAAGATCTGACTTTCTGTATAAAAATAGAAGAACAGTGCAATCATTTACAGGTATAGTTATTTTTATACCTACTTCCCACCTTTTTAAAAAGCGGGCTGGGCTCTGATGTGGCAGTGCTATATCAGAAAAATGAACCTGTCAGTTTTACTCATCAAACAGGGCCACATAGTTCATTCAGTTATAGAAATGACCAACATTTTTTAAAAGAGAATTAAGAAGCACATAACACTGATACTTCTTAATTCCTGTATTGAGACAAGAAACTGACCCCACAAAGAGATCAGCAGGGTTTCACAAGCAGTTTCACTTCAACACCTGGGATTTTACTACCACAACTCTATGTATCTCAGTTCACTTAGAAGCAGATTTATAAGGACTTGCTATAATACAAATTTTCTGCCACAACCTGTACTGAAATAATGCAATACTATTCAGTTCATACCCAAAGCCTTAACAAGGTGTGTATTTATACTGAAGAATAATACTACTTGATCTGCTATGATGTAATGCTATGGAATCCTGGAAGCTGTAGTTTGGTGAGACACTAACATGCTATGGCAGACAAAGCGAAAGACCTTGTAAAACTACAACTCCCTGGATTCCATAGTACTGCGTGATGACAGTCGATGGATCAAACAGCAATAATTCTACAGTAGGCATGGGCAAACTTCAGCCTTCCAGGTGTTTTGGACAGCAGGTATTAGGAATTGTGGGAGTTGAAGTTCAAAACACCTGGAGGACCCAAGTTTGCATATGCCGGTTCTACAGTGTTGATGGAGTCAACATTATCAGCTCACTCACGCCCACCTATTTGCTGACGCTTTCAAAGAACTCTAAAATGTTAATGGACCCTCGCAGTGTTTCTCAACCAGATGTTTTTGGACTTCAACTCCCAGAAATCCTAACAGCTGGTAAACTGGCTGGGATTTCTGGGAGTTGTAGGCCAAAAATATCTGGGGACCCCAGGTTGAGAAACATTGCTCTACGGAAAGAAACCTTTAGCTGTAACTGGCTACACCCATTCACATTCAATGTGTATTCTAACTTCTACTAGTACTTCTACAACAACACCAACAATTACTATTATTAGGAGTAATAGCATTACCCTTTCCCACAATAAAGACACTACTGTGTAGATGCACCTAGGGACACTTTTTAAAAGGTATGCCAACCTAGAAAGTATGGAAGATGGAGGCAAGAACAATCTCAGTCAATTCAACCAAGAACCATTGTTACTCAAGTCTTCCATTTCCAAAAGAAACAATGCCTTTTCCTACATCACAGGAAGCAACTCTTTTACACCCCACACCACACGCAGGGCAACTTGTGGACTGAAAGGAGTCACATTATAATAAAGGGCAGAAGTCTCCCCTTACTCAGCTGAGAGGTCTGACAGTAGTGTAGAGAACAGTTCCTCACAACCTGGGGAAATATCAGAATATAACAGGAGCAACTATCTTTTATTAGGTCCACCTTCAGACCCTTGAAGGAAGGGGTGGGATACATGCACACTGTTCCTGCTCAAGAGATGAGGACAATGAGACTTTTAAGCATCCTACTGCACATTATTAATGCGACCCCACACAATTGCTTTAAATAACCATCTAAATGGAATGTTTAAGAAGGGAATAAAAGGAGAGATTGAGTATTCCTTATCAAAAACACTTGCATTTATTAATTCAAAACTGCTTTCATTATAAGCATTATAAGCATTTCAATGCAATTTAAAATCCAAAACTAAACAAACACTAAAACAGAATTAAACATCAATGGTATTAATAAACAATTAAAATCCTGTACGCAGGTAACATATCCAATCCATAAAAAGGAAAGTCTGGACACATACTGCATCTTATTATACTATGGAACACAATTTTTGTTCCTGGGTTATAAATGTCATTTCTTAATTGGTTCTATCATAAAAACATGGAGCCCCCGGTGGCACAGTGGGTTAAACCCCTGTGCCAGCAGGACTGAAGACCGACAGGTCGCAGGTTCGAATCTGGGGAGAGGCGGATGAGCCTCTCCCCGGATGAGTTCCAGCTCCCGGATGAGGAGTTCCAGCTCCTCATGCGGGGACATGAGAGAAGCCTCCCACAAGGATGATAAAAACATCAAATCATCCGGGCGTCCCCTGGACAACGTTCTTGCAGACCGCCAATTCTCTCACACCAGAAGCCACTTGCAGTTTCTCAAGTTGCTCCTGACACGATTTAAAAAATCATAAAAACATGGGAAACTTTTATTAAACTGCAGCACATTTTCCTGTAGTTTTACAACAAATATCTTATCTAAGTCTCAACCAAATTAACATAGGAGGTTGCTGTGAGTTTTTTGGGCTGTATGGCCATGTTCCAGTAGCATTATCTTCTGATGTTTTGTCTGCATCCGTGGGCAGCATCTTCAGAAGTCTGTTGGAGGTGGCCAACAGCTGGTAAACTGGCTGGGATTTCTAGGAGTTGTAGGCCAAAACACCTGGAAACCCATAAATTGATAACCACTTCTGTGGAATGAATGCAGCTTGACCCCACTTGAACTGCCACGGCTCAATGGGATAGGACAGTGGTTTTCAAAGTGTGGGTCCCCAGATGTTTTGCCCTTCAGCTGCCAAAAATCCTAACAGCTGGTTGGGATTTCTGGGAGTTGTAGGCCAAAACACTTGGGGACCCACAGGTTGAGAACCACTGCTGTAGAAGGAATGTGGTTTGACCCCACTTGGACTGCCATGGTTGTAATAAACACTAGAGAGCAAGGATTCCCCGAAATACAAAGGCGGAAGGCCACTATAGACCAAAAAATAATACACTCACAATAATATACTCACAATAATGTATCTCATATATATGCTTATAATACTAACACATTCAATGTGCTGGCATCTACTACAAAGAATACTACATGCAATTCTCTGAACCAAAAAGATCTCATTATAGGACAGTGGTTCTCAACCTGTGGGTCCCCAGATGTTTTGGCCTTCAACTCCCTGAAATCCTAACAGCTGGGAAACTGGCTGGGATTTCTAGTTGTAGGCCAAAACACCTGGGGACCCACAGGTTGAGAACCACTGCTGTAGAAGGAATGTGGTTTGACCCCACTTGGACTGCCATGGCTCAATGTGATAGGACAGTGGTTTTCAAGGTGTGGGTCCCCAGATGTTTTGGCTTTCAACTCCCAGAAATCCTAACAGCTGGTCGGGATTTCTGGGAGTTGTGGGCCGAAACACCTGGGGACCCACAGGTTGTTGAGAACCACTTCTGTGGAATGAATGCAGTTAGGTCCCACTTGGACTGCCATTGCTCAATGCGATAGGACAGTGGTTATCAACCTGGGGGTCCCCAGATGTTTTGGCCTTCAACTCCCAGAAATCCTAACAGCTGGTAAATTGGCTGGGATTTCTAGTTGCAGGCCAAAACACCTGGGACCCACAGGTTGACAACCACTGCTGTAGAAGGAATGTGGTTTAACTCCACTTGGACTGCCATTGCTCAATGCTATAGAAGGAATGCAGTTTGATCCCACTTGGACTGCCATGGCTCAATGCGTTAGGACAGTGGTTTTCAAAGTGTGGGTCCCCAGATGTTTTGGCCTTCAACTCCCAGAAATCCTAACAGCTGGTAAATTGGCTGGGATTTCTGGGAGTTGTAGGCCAAAACACCTGGGGACTCACAGGCTGACAGCCACTGCTATAGAAAGCCAGCTTTGTAAAGCTACAACTCTCGTGGTTCGATAGCATTGAGCCAGGGCAGTTCAAGTGGGACTAAACCGCGTTAATTCCACAGTGTAGAGGCACCCCCCCCCCTAGCATGTGCTGCTGAACCCGCACTCCAACTTCCCGACCTTCTTGTGCCTCAGGGCGAGCAGAGGAGGCCTGAGGGCCCACTTTGTTTCCCAGTTCCCCTTACCCACCGGGGCCCCTGGCATCCAGAGCAGGAGGCAGAGCAGGAGCCTGAGGCGAAGGAGAGGGCGAGGCTCCATGGCTCCCTCAGGAAGACTGGGCCCAGCGCCTCCGCCTCCCACGGCCCGGCCGGCAGGCAGGGCGCTCGCTTCCCTCGCTTGCTTCCTCGCTCGCTCTCTCTCTGAGGAGAGCCCTTCCTCCTTCTCCGCCCAGAATCTCCGCCTCAGCCTCCTCTGGGTTGGCCCTGGCCGGCAGAAGGAGAGGGAGGCCGGCAAGCAGGCCCGCCTCCAGCCTCCTCTCCTCTGCAGTTGGGCCCAAGCTAGCTTCTGACTGACCACAAACTTAGCACATATAAAAGGAAGCCTCAGTCAGGCATGGGCCAGCTTGGGCCCTCCCTCCAGGTGTTTTGGACTTCAACTCCCACAATTCCTAACAGCCTACCGGCTGTTAGGAATTGTGGGAGTTGAAGTCCAAAACACCTGGAGGGAGGGCCCAAGCTAGCCCATGCCTGCTTTGAATGCGATTGCCCTGCTTCTTGGACTGGATGGCCCACCAGGTATCTTCCAACTTTAGGATTCCTATGAAACTATTTATTTTTCGTGTCAGAAGCTGCAAGTCGCTTCTGTTGTCAGAGAACTGGCAAGAATGTTGCCCGCATGTTTGGATGTTTTACCATCCTTGTGGAGCTCCCGGTGGCGCAGTGGGTTAAACCCCTGAGCCGGCAGGACTGAAGACCGACAGGTCGCAGGTTCGAATCCAGGGAGAGGCGGATGAGCTCCCTCTATCAGCTCCAGCTCCTCATGCGGGGACATGAGAGAAGCCTCCCACAAGGATGATAAAAACATCAAATCATCCGGGCATCCCCTGGGCAACGTCCTTGCAGACGGCCAATTCTCTCACACCAGAAGCAACTTGCAGTTTCTCAAGTCGCTCCTGACACGACAAACAACAACAACAGGCTTCTCTCATGTCCTTGCATGGGGAGCTGAAGCTGACAGAGGGAGCTCATCCGCGCTCTTCCCGGACTCGAACCTGCGACTTGTCAGTCTTCAACCCATTGTGCTCCTATGATTCTATGATCATCACCCATCCAGACCTCCATCTGGGTTCCTGGGTTTCCTTTAGTGTTTCTCAACCTTGCTAATGCCGCGACCCCTTAATACAGTTCCTCATGTCGTGGTGACCCCCAACCAGGCCCGTAGCCAGGATTTCAATTCGGGGGGGGGGGGGGTGGGCTGAGTCTGAGTGAAAGAGGGTCTACCCTAGCAAACCTTTTGTATCGTTACCCCAATACCCCATGCATATGGGATATATTGAGTATGGTGATCAGATCATGATATGAAGAAACATAACAGTTTAAATAATGCACCAGTAAGGCCTTTTCACGAACCACCATGAGAATTGGGGGGGGGGGGGCTGAAGCCCCTCAAGCCCCCCCCCCCCCGGCTACATGCCTGTCCCCAACTATAACATTATTTTAGTTGCAGGGGGGTGGTATGCTCCCTGTATGTCGCCTGTGTGGAAGGGGCCTTAGAAGTGAGATTAAGGGCCCTTCCACACAGCCCTATATCCCAGAATATCAAGGCAGAAAATCCCACATTATCTGAGTGTGGACTCAGATAACCCAGTTCAAAGCAGATAATGTGGGATTTTCTGCCTTGATATTCTGGGATATAGGGCTGTGTGGAAGGGCCCTATTGCTACTTCATAACTCATTTTGCTACTGTTACGAATCGTAACGTAAATATGTGATCTGCAGGATGTATTTTCATTCACTGGACCAAATTTGGCACAAATACCCGATACGACCAAATTTGAATACTGGTGAGGTTGATTTTGTCATTTGGGAGTAGTTGCAAGTTCCTGGGATTTATAGTTCACCTACAATCAAAGATCGTTCTGAACCTCGCCAACAATAGAATTGAACCGGACTCGGCACACAGAACCAACAGAACATGCTGGAAGGGTTTGGTGGGCCTTGACCTTGAGTTTTGGAGTTGTAGTTCACCGACATCCAGAGAGCACTGTGGACTCAAACAATGATGGATCTGGATCAAACTTGGCACGAATAATCAATATGCCCAAATGTGAACCCTGGTGGAGTTTGGAGAAAATAGACCTTGACATTTGGGAGTTGTAGTTGCTGGGATTTATAGTTTACCTACAATCAAAGAGCATTCTGAACCCCACCAATGATAGAATTGGGCCAAACTTCCCACACAGAACCCCCACGCAACCAACAGAAAATATTGTATTTTCTTATGGTCTTTAGTGACCCCCTGACAACCCCTCACAACCCCCCCCCCCGGGGTCCTGACCCCCAGATTGCGAAACACAGCTCTAGGGGCCCTTCCACACAGCCATATATCAAGGCAGACAATTCACAATATTTGCTTTGAACTAGGTTATATGAGTCATATAATCCAGTTCAAAGCAGATAATGTGGGATTTTATTCAACTGTGTGGAAGGGACCTTAGAAGTGGGATTAAGGGCCCTTCCATGCAGCCCTATATCCCAGAATATCAAGGCAGAAAATCCCACATTATCTGAGTGGGGACTCAGATAACCCAGTTCAAAGGAGATATTGTGGGATTTTCTGCCTTGATATTCTGGGATATAGGGCTGTGTGGAAGGGCCCTAAATTGAGGCTAGCATTAAAACCGAACAGGTGGCAAATGCAAGAGCCATTCAGAAATCTTGCAGCAGAACAAAATTACAAATTGGAGGCCTGTGTGCATACTTCTAAAATATCAGAAAGGTCATTCTTGCAGCATATTTCAAAAGTATGTGGCAAAAGCCTGTCTCCCGACTTCTCTGGCAATTGCAACTTGCAGACCAAGTTCATCCAGAACTGTATTTGCTTTGCACATTGGTCGGCCTTTTGGGAGAGAGAAAGTCACCCTGACCCTTTTGTGCCTAATGTGTGTATGGGCTGCTATAAAGAGAGAAGCCATGCATTTCAATTAACTATTTGCTAGTTCAAAGACACTGAGCAAACATAATGAAAACACTCAGTTCTTGTGGGTTTTTTCGGACTATATGGCCATGTTCTAGAGGCATTTCTCCTGACGTTTCGCCTGCATCTATGGCAAGCTTCCTCAGAGGACCTCTGAGGAAGCTTGCCATAGATGCAGGCGAAACGTCAGGAGAAATGCCTCTAGAACATGGCCATATAGCCCGAAAAAACCCACAAGAACTGAGTGATTCCGGCCATGAAAGCCTTCGACAATATAATGAAAACATTTGAACTCTTCTGCGGAAAAAAATTCAGGTGACTTTTCCCAGTCCTCTAAGATAGTGTGTGTGTTTTGAATGGTATATAGCTATATATCCCTTTTACTTTATTATGCTCCATCTTTGGAGGCTTTTAAACAGAGGCTGGATGGCCATTTGTCTCGGTTGCTTTGAATGTGACTTTCCTGCTTCTTGGCAGGGGGTTGGGCTGGATGGCCAACAAGGTGTCTTCCAACTCGATGACTCCATACTTTCAATTGCTCTTGCTATTTTTATGAGTTTGAGATGGAAATGGTGTTCAGTTCAAACCTAGTCCTTTTATTTATGAATATCAGAGGCATAGTACAATCTTATGCAGCAGAAAGGACACAGCTCACAGCAAAGAATAAAGTACTGGCAAGAATGGGAGGCTGCAAAAGAGGATCTGAAGATGCCAGCCACAGATGTAGATGAAACTTCAGGAGAAAATGTTGCTAAAATATGGCTACACAGCCCAGAAAATGCACAACACTCCAATGATTCTGGCTGTGAAAGCCTTCAATAATATTAATAATAATAATAATAATAATAATAATAATAATATCAATATAATATTAATATGCTGTAAGATCGCGCAGACAGACTACAAGCAGAGGTATAACACCGTTGCTTAGATGATTTATTGGAACTTGTGCCACAAATACCATCTGCCTGCAACAAAGAACTGATGGGATCACAAGCCGGAAAGAGTTACAGAGAATGAATACGCCAAACTCCTCTTGGACTTCCAGATTCAGACAGACAGAGTTTTGGAGCATAACTCTCCAATCTCGTTAAAAAAACAAAGTATGGATCGTCGATGTCGCAATCCCAGGTGACAGCAGGATTGCAGAGAAACAACTGGAAAAGAAGACGCGATATGAGGATTTAAAGATCGAACTACAAAGACTCTGGCACAAGCCAGTAAAGGTGGTCCCAGTGGTGATCGGCACACTGGGTGCAGTGCCTAAAGACTTAAACACAATCGGCGCTGACAAAATTACCATCTGCCAGCTGCAGAAAGCCACCTTACCGGGATCTGAACGCATCATTCGCCGATACATCACACAGTCCTAGACACTTGGGAAGTGTTCGACGTGTGATCCAATTCAACAGCCAGCAGAGTGTCTGCTGTGGACTCATCTTGTTGTGTTTCAAATAATAATAATAATAATTATTATTATAATTATAATTATAATACATTTGATTTGTTACCTGCCTTTCCTAATGGCCCAAGGCGGAGTACAAAACACATTAACATAAAATACATATATCAAAAAACATATACCAAACATAGGGTACAAATGTGCTACTATTTCAGATGTGTGTGTGTGTGTGTGTGGGGGGGGGGGGTGCATGGTAGAATTAATGCAGTTTGACGCCACTTTAATAGCCACAGCTGAATACTATGGAATCTGGAGAGGTGTAGTTCATTGAGGCCCCAGAAGTCTTTGGCAGAGAAAGCTTGGAAAAAGACAACACATTGTCGTATTCTCTTTCTTATTTCATTTATTCATTTATGTTTTTAAATATATATTTTAAAAAGAAATAATCTGAGTTGAACTAAAAGAGGTCTTACTTCTAAGTAAGGATTGAACCTTATGCATACAGGCAATCTCCAACTTACATACAACTCCTAGTTAAGAACAGGGGTGAGACAACAGAAAGTGAGAAGTCTACCCCCAGAAAGGAAAATTCACTCCTGAAAGATTTATCATGGGGGAAAGCAGTTTCAACTTAAGCTTTCCTACTAATCTGTTTGCTACAGAATCTATTTTGTTAATAACTTGTAGACTGCTTGTATTTGCTAGAGATTAAGTCCAGATATAGTAGGACTTTATTCCAAATAAACCTATGTAGGATCAAATTGTGAATATTCATATGACAACATCAAAGGGCTAAACATTTACATATACCTAGGAGTAAGCTTTATTGGTTCACTTTGGAAACATTGTCTCATAGCAAGGTTAACTGGCACTGATGAGATTTCTGTAAATTTAATAGGATGTAAGTTTGGATGGTGCAAATTTATCAGTTGTTTCTGCATTGCACTGTTGTGGGATCTACACTGCCATATAATTCTGTTTCTGAATCCAGGTGATCTGCTTTGAACTGGATTATATGAGTCTACACTGCCACATAATTCAATTCAAAGCAATATACTGGATTCAGAAACAGTGCAGTGATGAGGCCTGAGAAAGGCTCTTCCAATTCTACCTTGTAAATAGTTCCTTTAAAATGAACATTTAGTGCCATCCAGTGGATAAACACATCAAAGACATGCTGGCAGTTCAAACATGGTTATTGGGAGACAAAAGACGTTTAAAACACAGTCAGAACATTACCTCTTTTCAAACAGCATTTAAAAACAGGTCTAAAATACAAACATAGTCTGAATACAACTGTTTAGCTTGTCCCTGACTGTTCCAAATGCTAAATGGTAAGTCAACAGGTAAGTAAATTTCTCTGATTCAATGAGTCTATTATAAGGATGCAGTCCACACTGTAGACTGACACCACTTTAAATGCCATGGCTCAATGCTACGGAATGATGGGAGTTGTAGTCTGGCCAAGCAGCAGCATTCTTCAACAACTACAACTCCCACAATTCCACAGAACCAATCTAGGACAGATTATTATTATTTGAAACACAACAAGATGAGTCCACAGCAAACAAGATCACTCTGCTGGCTTTTGTATTGGATCACACATTGGACACTTCTCAAATGTCTAGGACTATGTGATGTATCGGCGAGTAATGCGTGCATATCCGAACAGGGTGGCCTTTTGAAGCTGACAGATGGTAATTTTGTCAGCACTGTTTTTAAGTGCAGGCCAAGGTCTTCAGTCACTGCACCCAGTGTGCTGATCACCACTGGAACCACCTTGACAGGCTTGTGCCAGAGTCTTTGATCTTTAAATCCTTGTATCATGTCAGCTTTTCAAGTTGCTTCTCGTGAAATCTGCTGTCACCTGGGATTGCAACATCATCATAATTATATTTATTTATACCCTGTTTTATCTCCCCAAAGGGGACTCAAAGCGGCTTGAAATAAAGTATTAATATAGTTGAAAATATACAAATATATAAACATTAAAATGGAATTAAACACAAACAGTACTAGAACATTTAGAGTTAAAATCAATCAAAATATACTTAAAGCTTTCGTGGTTTAAAGCTGAATTAAGTCAACAGTATATTATTTATTATTATTATTATTATTATTATTATTATTATTATTATTATTATGTATGCATCTCCCCTGAAGGCTTAATATAAGCATTTAAAATATACAAATATATGAACAATAACACAGGATTAAATATAAATGGTACGAAAAGATTCCCAGTTAAAAACCATTAAAACAAATTCACAGTTAAAAGTTAATAGTCATCTAATGCAGCCTAAGCAGCATTAGCTGTAAAATACTAATAACTGTTCACAAATATAATATATTTATAATTTATATGCAGCATCCAATTAAAAATGTCTACAATGAAAAAAAATACAATGAATTAAAACCAATTCATAAAACAGAGGAAAATCAATAAAACCATACTAAAGTGTCAAGATAAACATAGGTAAATGTTTTCCCCTGACATTAAGTCCAGTCGTGTCCGACTCTGGAGGTTGGTGCTCATCTCCATTTCAAAACTGGCGTTGTCCGTAGACACCTCCAAGGTAATGTGGCCAGCATGACTGCATGGAGCACCATTACCTTCCCGCCAGAGCGGTACCTATTGATCTACTCACATCCGCATGTTTTCAAACTGTTAAACAAAAGTAAAGATAAAACATCCTGAATTAATTGAATTCATAAATGAATGGGTTAAACAAATATACATAAATCGTGGGTCGAAACCAAACAAACAAACAAACAAAAACCACAAAACGACAAGAGTCTGATTAACAAGATAATATAAAATGCCTGTGGGTCCCCAAATGTTTTGGCCTTCAACTCCCAGAAATCCTAACTGCTGGTAAACTGGCTGGGATTTCTGGGAGTTGTAGGACAAAACACCCGGGGACCCACAGATTGAGAACCACTGTGGATTTGAAACCATTGTATATGGCTTATTGACATAGAATGAGTGCATTCTGATACCACTTTTAACAGTCATGGCTCAATGCTATGGGATGATGGGATCTGTGATCCCATTGTGCCGAGTGGAGTGCCATCAGCAGAGTTCTGTCCTGGGCCTGGTCTTGTTCAACATCTTTATAAATGACTTAGCTGAAGGCTTAGAAGGCATGATCATCAAGTTTGCAGACGACACCAAATTGTGATAGCCAATACTCCAGAAGACAGGAGCAGAATTCTGCCTAAGTGGAGTGTCTTGCATTTGTCACTGTTGAACTTCATTTTGTTAGTTTTGGCCCATCTCACTAACCATTTAAAATATACAAATATATTAACAACAAAACAGCTAAAAACCATTAAAACAAATTCACAGTTAAAAGTTAATAGCCACCTAATGCAGCCTAAGCAGCATTGGCTGTAAAATACTAATAATTGTTCAGAAATACAATATATTTATAATTGATATGCAGCATCCAATTAAAAACATTTGCAATTAAAAAAATACAATGAATTAAAACCTGTTTTATTGTTCATATATTTGTATATTTTAAATGGTTAGAGAGATGGGCCAAAACTAACAAAATGAAGTTCAGCAGTGACAAATGCAAGACACTCCACTTAGGCAGAAAAAATGAAATGCAAAGTTACAGAATGGGGACGTGTGGCTCAGGAGCAGTACATGGGAAAATGATCTTGGGGTCTATTGTCGAAGGCTGTCATGGCTGAAATCACTGGGTTGTTGTAGGTTTTTTCGGGCTATATGGCCATGTTCTAGAGGCATTCTCTCCTGACGTTTCGCCTGCATCTATGGCAAGCATCCTCAGAGGTAGTGAGGTCTGTTGGAATTAGGAAAATGGGTTTATATATCTGTGGAATGACCAGGGTGGGACAAAAGACTCTTGTCTGTTGGAGCTAGGTGTGAATGTTTCAACTGACCACCTTAATTAGTATTTGATGGCCTGGCAGTGCCTGGAGCAATCTTTTGTTGAGAGGTGATTAGATGTGCCTGATTGTTTCCCCTCTGTTGTTTTGCTGTTGGGATTTTGTCCTGTATCAATAGGAGTTTAGTGTCTAGATCCAGGGAAGCCATGCTACCCCTCTATTCTGCTTTGGTTAGACTACATCTGGAATATTGTGTCCAATTCTGGGCACCACAATTGAAGAGAGATGTTGACAAGCTGGAATGTGTCCAGAGGAGGGCGACTCAAATGATCAAGGGTCTGGAGAACAAGCCCTATGAGGAGCGGCTTAAAGAGCTGGGCATGTTTAGCCTGCAGAAGAGAAGGCTGAGAGGAGACATGATAGCCATGTATAAATATGTGAGAGGAAGTCATAGGGAGGAGGGAGCAAGATTGTTTTATGCTGCCCTGGAGACTAGGACGCGGAAGAGTGGCTTCAAACTACAAGAAAGGAGATTCCACCTGAGCATTAGGAAAAACTTCCTAACTGTGAGAGCTGTTCAACAGTGGAACTCTCTGCCCCGGAGTGTGGTGGAAGCTCCTTTTTTGGAAGCTTTTAAACAGAGGCTGGATGGCCATCTGTGGGGGGTGCTTTGAATGCAATTTCCCTGCTTCATGGCAGGGGCTGGATTGGATGGCACATGAGGTCTCTTCCAACTCTAGGATTCTTTAGCCTTCTCTGCCACAAAAAAAGGGACTGTTGCCTCACCAAGCTACAAATCACAGAATCCAATAGTCTGGAGAGATTACAGTTAAAGCGGTGTCAAACTGCAATCATTCTACAGTGGAGATGGCACTCCTAGCTTGTTTGTATCCTTCTCCACTGGGTTCATAATTTACAACTACTCAATATTTGCAGGCAAGCCTTAAACCCTCCCTCGCCTTTAACAGATCGCAGTGCGCAATACCGGAAATCAAAACTGCTTTGAGCTTTACAGCCTCGAGTTTCCGCGAGGTGACGAAACAATCACCTGGGAGCGCAGCGCAGCGCCGATTGGCTGCTGGGGAAAGTGGGCGGAGCCCGTTACGTCAGAACGGCTATAAATAGACGTGCAGCGGCGCTCGTTGGTCCTTTCGCCGGAAGTTGCTGGGTAAGGCTGTTTTCTCACTGTCTTGTTATGGGCTATTGTGAAAATAATAGAGGGAAGCTTACTTTCTGGACGTAGAGCGGGGAAGGCCTGGGAAAGGCGCCGGATGAAGACCTAGGGGCCTTCCCAAGTGTGCAATTTTTGCCCATTAGCCAGAATGGCTGGGCCTGCTGGGAGCTTGAGGCCTACTGCTGGTTGCTATGATGATTCTCTCAGCGTGTTAGACTGCTGATGCGGATGAAGAGACATTGGATCTGAGCCTCCAGCATTGAAAATGAGGGGGCATTTGCACTCTAGAATTAGTTCACATTGATGCCACTTTAACTGCCATGGTTTGTTGCTGTGCAATAATAGGAGTTGTAGTTGGGAGAGACACCAGCACTATTCGATAGACTACAGTTCCCATGATTCCATAGCATGGAAACCTGGGAGACTTCAGAGCATCTCTCTAAAATTTTCTTGCATTAACTTTGGTTTGAATCACGCCCGTAGCCAGGATTTTGATGCGGGGGGGGGGGGACGCTGAGTTTTATTCAAGAGTGGGGTTGAGGATCTACCCTAGCTGTCGCACCCTGGGCCTGTGCATCAGACTGTAGACAGGACATAAATTCTGTGTGCCCAACGGGACGCCGGGGCTGCCTCTGACTAAAGGCCCTTGGACCTCCCCAAAACAAAGTTCTATAGAGGCTTAAAGTAAGTCCAACAAAGTTCTTTATTGATGAAAACAAACAGGCACTATCTTCTTAACTGTAATTAACTAATGGGGAAATCCTTAACTTCTAATCTGGGCAGTCTGTACTTGCCTCTGTTGGTGTGGAGCCCCTGCACCCGGTACCAACTGCGTCTGGCTTCCGCGAGCGACCCTTACCAAGCAGAGCTTTGTAGACTTCCAGGGGGGAAGGATTCAGGCTTCCGAGATGGCTGATTGAAGTCCCTCAGCGAAGGAGCTGTAAGGCTGTATAACTCCAGTCAGGCTGTAGGCTGTATGACTCCCGGCCAAGCCGTAGAAGACGAAGCTTTCTACAGGAGCTCTTGAAATTATGTCCTGCATGGAAGCTTCTCTGTGTGAAGTGAACTCAAAATGGCTCCTGTTCCCACTAAAACTCAAAAAGTTGCAGGGAATCTAACAATAATTGACAGGTGGCTTGCCCTTTGATTGCAGCCAAAAGAAGCCACCTATCTGCAGAGTCCCTGAAACTTAGGACTGCAACAAACATTAAATGCAAAGCAAACAAAATTGGAGCTCCTGGAACAGCTGTTCCAGAACACTGGCAAACCTTTTGTATCATCCCAATACCCCCATGCATATGGGATATATTGAGCATGGTGATCAGATCATGATATGAATAAACATAACAGTTTAAATAATGTACCAGTAAGGCCTTTTCGCAGACCACCATCAGAATTTCGGGGGGGGGGGGGCTGAAGCCCCTCAAGCCCCCCCCCCCCCCCCCAGCTACATGCCTGGTTTGAATGCATGCGCAAAACCACATATATACACAAATATATACACACACATAAACACAGACTAGGTCGCAGCAATGCGTGGCAGGGGACGGCTAGTATGTAGTAAACATGGTAAACAGCATTAGATTATGTATATTAAAACCAATTATATTAAAAGCCAATTCCATCTCATCGCCATAGTCAAATCCAGTAGCCATTTAACAGGTTACCCATTGTTTTCCCCAAAATCTTCCTTCCAGAGAAAGGGTTTTATTTGCCTTCCGAAGAATAGCAGGGATGTGTTTAGGGAGTGCGTTCCAGAGCTGAGAAGGCCAATCTATCGCCTTCTCGGAGATGGGACCAAGCATAGGCCCTCTCTGGCAGATTGTAAAGTTTGGGAAGGCTCATATGGGGAAATGTGGGCGGATAGATAGGTTGGGCCTTAACCGTTTTTAGGGCTTTAAAGTTTAAACCAGCACCTTGAATTGTGCCTGAAAGCAAACCAGTAACAAATGGAGCTGTCGTAACAAGGGAAGTTGAATGCACCCGTTATGGCGCTCCAATGAACAGCCTAGTTGCAGATCTTTGAACCAGCTGAAGCTTCCAAACAGTCTTCAAATGATGCAATGAGGGAGGGAAAAATGAGAGTTATGGGTAATAGGAGATATATATCTAAGGAATGTATACAGTGTCATATAAGGTAGGTTTACTTTTGAAATAATGTATATCTAGATAAGACTTGTATGGCAAAAGTTTATTAATTTATGGAATGTATCAGGTAAAATAAAAATTTAAAAAAACAAACCATTTTCAAGGGCAGCCCTAAGTAAAGTGCATTACAGTACTCCAGTCTGGATGTGACAAGGGCATGGACCACCTTAGCCAAATCCGACTTCTCAAGATGCTACCATACCAGTTTTAATTGTGTGAAGGCTCCCTTGGCCACTGCTGATACCTGGGCCTCCTGCTCAGGATGAATCCAGGAGAACACCCAAGCTGCGAACCTGTATAAGTGGAATGGATCTAAGTAACTTTTATCTGTAAAGTTCCCGCCCCTAAACTACAAGTTCCAAATATCACAGGAGGCAGCCATAGCAGGTAAAGTGGAAGAACAGCACTTTAATAGTGTAGTGTGATAACCTCCTAAATCATGATGTGCCATTAGTTTTAAAACAGGTCAAAGCGCAGCCCTCTAGCTGTTTAGTCTTCCCAACTCCCAGAAAGACTAGCCAGCTTGTCAAATGGACAGGAATTTTGGGAGTTGGAGGGCCACAGTTTGAGTTGCACAACGTAATGGTTTTATTTCTGAGCTAGCAGAAGAAGCTGTTATGCATTGCAGGCAGGTTACATATTTGTATATAATTTTAAAAATACACTACTTTAACACCATGATCCCATACCATTGAACCATGGCAATTAAACCAATGCTAAACTGCATTAATTTTACAGTGTAGATGAAGCCTCCAGCATGTCATGGCATCTCATATCTCCATTACAGTTGCCTTTCCTCTAGTAACATGGGTGTCTTTTTGCTCCCTTATTTTTAATAGCAAAATACACAAAACACAAGCCTTATTTCTCCTAGTAGATCTTTTTTTGTCGTGTCTGGAGCGACCTGAGAAACTTCAAGTCGCTTCTGGGGTGAGAGAATTGGCCGTCTGCAAGGGGACGCCCGGATGATTCTGATGTTTTTATCATCCTTGTGGGAGGCTTCTCTCATGTCCCCGCATGAGGAGCTGGAGCTGATAGAGGGAGCTCATCCGCCTCTCCCCGGATTTGAACCTGCAACCTGTCGGTCTTCAGTCCTACCGGCACAGGGGTTTAACCCACTGCGCCACCAGGGGCTCCTTCAAGTAGATAAGCAGATAGTACCAGCTGTGTACTGATTTCTCTTGTACCTTCCCACCTTCTGGCTGCTAAATGGACCTGGCAGCATTAGAACCCATTTGAAATCTTACAATGAGTGGCAGGGAATCACTGAATGAGTGGGGAGAACTGTTCTTAGTCCCGTTGTCGAAATATCCTTGTAATTAGAGCTTTGTTAAACTTTTCAAGGTCAGTTTCAAAAGGATGGGTCCAACTGTGTTGGTTAACAGGCCTTAAACTTGGGATTTGGTTTGTGCTCAGTGGAAATGTTGCCTTGAACAAAGATCACCCTCTGCTAATAAAGCCTAAGGCTTTCATGTTGTTCCTGCCCATTTGTGTTCCGAAATTATTCACTCTTTAAAATAGCTAAAATTTTGCTTTGAGCTGAGCTGTGTTCATACGCAGCTAGTGGTAATTAACAGGGAGAAATCTATATGTATGTCCTTGAAAACTGCTCTTGCCGTATAGGAATAAAGGGAGCCCTTGTAAGCACTGCTAATTTTGCTCTACTCATTTACAGATTCAGCAAAATTCGGCCTTGATCTCATGGAATGGAAAGCGCTGCAAGCAACTCTTGCTGCTAGGCTAAAGCACTGTTGAAAAGGCTGGTGTGGAAATGTACTCTATATACGAGGGTTGGAACTTTAATAGTGGCAATACTGCTGTAAAGACGCCACACAAAACCAAAGAATGTCGCATATACCATACGTTAGTTACATACCTTCCTACGTCACGCGCATGCGGAGTGACGTGAACAACTGAGCCTTGTATTAGCTTGCGGTCTAAAGTAAGTGTTGTCACAATGTTTTCAAAACAAGAACACAGATAAAAATTGAATGTGCCAGAGGTCGTACAGCACGACAGTATCATCAAGGTCTTCAAGAGGCTTGCGGGCAATCTACATTGCCTTACAGAACAGTGGCAAGGTGGGTAAAAGCCTTCAGCAAAGGATGCCAAATGGGGCAGACATCATCGACCAGGTTGTCCTAGTGGCAGTGAAGCGGATGCTGTTGCTGAACTCGTAGTATCAACAGAACAGGCGCTGCAACTGGTGTCCTACGACTTCCACAACATTGGAAATGGGTTGTACATAATGCTGGCGACTATATTGAAGGGCTGTAAAATTTGGTGGCATGTTTGACTTTTGTATTATATGTAAATAAATATCTGCCATTGTTAAAGTTTCAACTCTCTTAATAAAGGTTTGATAATCCTCCTTGGTGTGGACTTTTTTTAGTAGGCTTTTGAGCACTGCCTTTGAACTGGTGTATGGTCTGCTTCCATGGCCTCACTGGTTACGCTGCAGTGCAAAAATAAAGGACTTGCTTATAACTGGTGTTGCTCAGCTGAAACCTGAGTGATATTTTTAAGAGCAAGTTACATTTAATCCTTCGTCTAATGCCACAGTCTGAAAATATCAACAGAAAATTGTGGTAAATCCTGATCAAGGTTATCTTGGGTTATGGGAACAACTGAAGAAGGTGAAAAGTTCAATTGGATCTGAAGTTTGGTGTAAAAAAAATCTGGTTCAGAGGAATCGTGAATGTGTGACAAATTGACTTATCTCGATGTTTTGTGTTTTTTCAATCAAATGGGTTCCAAGTTACTAAAACATTCTGAAACTAATTATGCAATTGTGAATGGAGTAATAGCGGTAAGGGAATTAAAACATTCTTTGACAAAATCTCCCAGTTCCAGGGAAACACAAATATATTTTAATAAAACGACAGGTAATTTTTCCTCTGTTCAGGGGTTTGAAGACAGCGTAGGCCTAATTGAAGAAATTGAGCGCTTAGCAAATGCTAACTCCCAATAGTTTTTAGAACTTTTTCCTGCCAAAATCATTTAAACTAGGATTGAAGATGGCCCCTGACAGAACAAATGATGGTTTTCTCACCAGCATTCCGGAGAGGTGTAGCTGAACACCTCTTGGGGGCATATGATTTGCAGAAATTGTTTACATGGTCCTGTTCAAGACCACTTAACCACTTCATAATCAAATTAACAGTAGAATGTAGCTCGATACCATGGCTCAATCCTATGGTAATTTAGGGATTCCAGTTTGGTAAGGCATCAGAAGACCAAAGGCTGTATTAAACTACAGTTCCCATGATTCCATAGCTTTGAGCCATGTAAACATGGTGTCACTACACTGATTTTATAATGTACCGTAGGTATAGTTTTCAAAGGGTTCAACTATTTAAACATTCCCATTTTGGGCACAACTGGAATAGGCCATATTTTCACAAGAAGCACCAGATATTTGCAATTTAGGGGAATGTGTTGACTTTAAACCAACACATGTTAAAGGGAAGTCTATCTAATTTGGGCATCCTTTACTAATTTGATGGCTAAGCAAGTTTTGAATCACATTTGAAGCTTTCAAACAGGCTGGGGTGGCCATCTGTCAGGGCTGTTTTAATTGTGCTTTTCTTGCATGGCAGGGAGTTGGACTAGATGGCCCACGCAGTCTCTTCCAACTGTTCTATGATTCTGTTTTGACTGCTCTAGTCATCAAAACTGATGCCAGGTATGCACCAATGTGCATTACTGGTTTTCTTGGGTTAGTGACTTGCTTGGCAAGGGTAGAGAACTCAAATGTTCTGAAAGAATTAAAGGTCCTGGATAAACTAGGGGTTTTTTAGCTTTCAAAAATTGGTAAAATTGTGGGAACCCACTTGAAGGATTGTGCTATGAAGGAGGAGGTGGGTGGCTTCAGTACAGAAACCCAATGACAATGCAGGGCCTAAAAGTTTTCCAGTTCTGTTAAAATAACCTTTGACAAAACTGGACACTGACCTATTTGTGGGCTAGTTGCTAATGGTTACATCCCATCTAGACTGCTGTAACAGGCTCTGTGGTTCTACATGGGGCTGCCTTTGAAAAGAGCCCAGAAACTTCAATTGGTCCAAAGAGCTGCTGGACCCAGGAAACAACTCCGCTACAGCATGTACATTGGCTGCCAATTTGTTCATGGTCCTGGTTTTGACCTTTAATGTCTTAAATGGTTCAGGTCCAACTTACCTGGCTGCGTTTCCTCATACCAAATGGCCTTTTTAAGATCCGGCTGATCTTGGCAAGGGAGAGGCATTCTCTGGCTGCCCCGAACCTGTGGAACACCTTCCCAAAAGAAAATAAAACAGCCTCCCCCTCCCTTGCTTTTTTGAAGAATCAATTAAAAACTTCCTTGTTTAGACAGTGAGGGAAATTAACCCTGACTGAGAACTTCATAATGTGACTACTGGAGCAAAGTGCACAATAACCTGGCATGATGCAATATAGAAATGTGACTATATTGTAGTTTGGTTTTTAAATTACTTTTTATATTTATTATTGATTACTTTTTATATTTATTATTGATGTATTTGGTCTGTTTGTATAATTTTAAGATGTAAGCTGCTTTGGGTCCCATGAGGGAGAAAAGCGGGGTATAAATAAAGATTTATTAATATAAAACACCCTCTTCACTTTGTTGCAGCGGCCTCTGTCTTAAAATTTTGTGTTTCATAACACCCCATAACTCAAGGCTAGCTTTTTGAAAAACATTTCCCTCATTGGGTTGCTGTGAGTTTTCTGGGCTGTATGGCTGTGCTCCAGAAGCATTCTCATGGCGTTTCACCCACATCAATGCTGGGCATCCTCAGAGGTTGTGGGTTTTTTTTTTAAACTAGGCAAGTGAGGTTTATATATCTGTAGAGTGGGAGAAAGAACTCTTGTCTGTTTGAGGAAACTCTGAATGTTTCAATTGGCCACCTTGATTAGTATTTAATGACCTTGTAGCTTCAAAGCCTGGCTGGCTGCTGCCTGGGGATCATTTGTTGGGAGGCATTAGATTCCCTCATTTCATTTATTTAAAGCATTTATATTCCATCCTTCTCACCCAGAAGGGGACTCAGGATGGAGCACAACATATAAACGGCAAACATTAAATGCTGATACAAGACTATACACATACAAAAACATTACAATCACTTAGCTTGTTGTTTACATCCTCTGTTTAAAATCGTCTCAAACAACAATATAAAATCTGGTTGGCATACAAAGAGTTCCTATCACTGCCTCATTACACAGTCCGAAAGGCTTGGTCCCACAACCATGTTTTTATAATTCTAAAGTCAAGAGGGAGGGGGCTGATGACCTAATCTCATTAGGAAGGAGTTCCATAACTGAGGGGCAATCGCTGAGAAGGCCCTCTCGTCCCTCCCAAGTCATACCTGAGAAAGTGGCGGGACGGAGAGCAGGGCCTCTGGGAGATCTTAATCTCCGTGATGGTTCATAGAGGGAGATGCGTTTGGACAGATAAATTGGGCTGGGGCTGTTTAGGGCTTTATAGGCCAAAGCCAGCACTTTGAATTGTACTCAAAATAGGTGCCGAAATAATAGCAGAATCTATATAAATAAAAATAATGTTCGTTTGTGGGATTAACAACTCAAAAACCACTGGACGAATTGACACCAAATTTGGACACAATACATGTAACGACCCAATGTATGTTCTTCACTCAAAAAAATTGATTTTGTCATTTGGGAGTTGTAGTTGCTGGGATTTATAGTTCACCTACAATCAAAGAGCATTCTGAACTCCATCAATGATGGAATTGAATCAAACTTGGCACACAGTTCTCCCATGACCAACAGAAAATACTGGAAGGGTTTGGTGGGCGGTGTCCTTTGATTTTGGAGTTGTAGTTCACCTACATCCAGACATCACTGTGGACTCAAACAATGATGAATCTGGACCAAACTCTACACAAATACTCAATATGCCCAAATGTGAACACTGGTGGAGTTTCTGGAAAATAGAATCTTGACATTTGGGAGTTGTAGTTGCTGGGATTTATAGTTCACCTACAATCACAGAGCATTCTGAAACTCACCAACGATAGAATTGGGCCAAACCTCCCACACAGAACCCCCATGTGGGCCACAGCAACGCATGGCAGGGGACGGCTAGTATTTAAATATATTAATATATTTGAACCTGCCCAGGTTCTTTTGAGGTTGGGGTAATTTGCTTGTTATTAGACCAGTGGCCTGAAAGAAATCTTCCTAAACTCCAAACTTTGTGGACTACTTTGACAGAACAGCAGGATATACATTTGGTCAATAAAATAATCATGGCCACAGTGCTATACTCCAAGTTCTTGGGACTAGATTCCCCCTATAGCAGTGGTTCTCAACCTGGGGTCCCCAGATGTTTTTGGCCTACAACTCCCAGAAATCCCAGCCAGTTTACCAGCTAATAGGATTTCTGGGAGTTGAAGGCCAAAAACATCTGGGGACCCAAGGTTGAGAACCACTGCCCTATAGTGTCAGCCGTCTTCTAAGACTTCAGAAATGACCTCAGAAAAGACAAGTTTGACATGGGATAAATTTATTTCAGAAAAAGCAAGCCCATTGTAATAACCCACATAGTCTAGTTATGAAGTGCAATGAACCCACTTGTGTCAGATCTGAAGAACTCCTTATACACATTAGTGCATCTAGTCTTTAGACTTTCATTGTTATTGCACATGAAAAAAAGGGGCCGTGAACAAGACATGCAGACTTCAGGAAGAGGCAGATGTTTTCATCGAACAAGAGCTGGGGCAGCACACAAAATGGAATGGTCACAGAAGTCAGAGATAACAAAAATAGATGCCCAAATAATAGAGGAATATTTAAATATATTAATATATTAATTTTCTTTAAAGGTGTTTCAGGCAAGGTGCATTTGTTGTTGCTTTTTTAAAAAAAAAAACCTTGAATTTGCTCCAATTAGAGATGGCAAATCATGAGAAATTTTACACACAGTAACTGAACACAATGTACAAAAAAGGTTTAAAAACCACTTAAAGCAGTACGCTATTAGTTGGGTGAACGTGATCGCTCACCTGCTTGTAAACTAAATTAACATTCTCTTGACATAAGTTGGCAATATTGAGTATCAAGAAACACTCATTACTGGTGTTGATCGTTGTATATGTATGTAGTGTTCAAAGGAGTTACTGATCTAATGTGCATGTTTAGCTGAAATGTCCATACAGAAAAGTAACAGCAAGGCAGTTTCTCCGGAGTGTTTGCCATAATCATTAGTAGTGCTTTGGAGTTTTGTTGCGCTTCCACTTTCCATACAAAGACCACGTAAGAGGTGCACACTGATTAAAAGATGGCAGACTAGTCACAGTCAATATCAGCACAGCACCTTTTTTAAAAAAGTGGCCAAAAGGAGTGGCTTCACTCTCTTATCCACAAAGAGTGAATGCAAGAAGCAACAATTTAGTCAAGTTGAATGAGTTCATTGTTCTAGACTAATTTTAGTGCACACAAGTATGCATGCACACACAGAGCGTTAGACGTTTCCATGTGTATTCATGTCTTAACATTTATTGTGAAATCACAAGCCATGGCGATTGTACCTCACTAAAAAAAAAAGTCTGGCTATGGTTTGGTCTTCATGGCTTTTCCTCATTTTTCGTCTCCTTTGCTCAGAGCTTGGAAACATTAAATTTTGGGAATTAAAACTCCCCAAAAGAATTTGCCTCCATGCTCTGTAGAATCCTTCTCCAACCAATTAACGTGTGTTTGTGTGTTATATGGCTACTTGTTTCCAAAAAACACAATTTCATATGAAAAAATAAGTTACTATGCATAATCCACATGAAGTGATCCACAATTCTCTTCTGTACATCCATTTTACATTCTTAACTCTGGAAAACTTTTCCGAAATTGCTTGACACAAGCTATCGGACTGCAGAAGTGAAGGAACGGGAAAGTATATTTTCCACCTCCAACTGCCTGAGAGAGAAGGGTTGGGAAAGAGGCCTTCCAGTTACATGGGTTTGTTCCTTGGCAGGGGACAGGTTTCGTGTGGCTGCGTGATACATGCCTAGGTGCACTGCCAACGTTGTGTGTCAACCAACAACACCATAGGTGTCAAAGCTCCTGGATCAATTGCAACTGGTGGAAGCTTCCCTAACCCTTTACTGCAAAATATTACACATTAACTGCTAAGTGGAAAGCCCAATAGCAGCAGCAACTGCAAAGATACAGACCAGTTTAGAGATTGAATTAATGCTCAAGTGACTCAAGTACATAGGAGTGATACCTGGACAACTGGAGCAACAATTGGCATTAAGCAATCCTCTTCAAAAAGCAAAACAAAACATGGCACAGAGACAAAATATATCTATATATCTATATCCAGACAGTTTCATTTTAAAAACAATAAAAACAAAACTTGTTAATACTGTAAACTGCAGTCTTCACATTTCATGGCTGATCAATAGCATCTGTGTCAGACTCTTTAAGAGGGCACATAAATGAGCGTGTATCCATAGCTGAGTGCATCAGGGGAATATAGACATCGTCCATGTTTGGCATGACAAAGATTTTCTGCAAGATGTAAAAATGTATTAGAGGATAATACAAAGGACCATCACCAAAAGACAACCTAGCAAAATGACACTACCTAGAAAAATCCTCTACCTTGTGCAACTGTGGAACACAACAAACAACTCCGCAGATGTATGCTTGTCCACAATGCCCTGCCTCATGCACAGAGGAAGAATTGTTTAAAGCTGCAGACAATGTGGTCGCTGTTGCTTGGTTTTGGTAAAAAGTTATTTAACTGCTTGTGTTCCCTCTATTTTTATCAATTTTATATTTATTCATGCAATGCTTTTGACATTTATTATTTATTTATTTACTTTATTTATATACCGCTTTTCTCAGCCCTCAGGCGACTCAAAGCGGTGAACAACATCGATACAAAACACCACGAGACAAGTATAGGGCAATTAAAAACAATTGTAACATAAATCATTAAACATCAGTATAACAATCATTAGCGCCTCAACAGTAAAATCAGAATCCAGTCTCATCATCCATTATTCTGTATTCCTATGTTAAATTACACTGTTTAATCAAATGCTTGTTCGAACAGCCAGGTCTTCACTTTCCTCCGAAACGCCAGCAGGGAGGGGGCCGATCTGATATCTGCAGGCAGGGCGTTCCACAGCTGAGGGGCCACCACTGAGAAGGCCCTGTCTCTCGTCCCCGCCAAGCGCACCTGTGATGCAGGCGGGACAGAGAGCAGGGCCTCCCCTGCTCTTAGTGATCTTAGTGTCCTAAATAAAATGATCTTAGTGTCCTAAATAACCAAGTATGTTGATTCTTGAATTAATTGACTGACCTTACAAAAAAATAAAAACCTCAAAATAAAACCCTTGGTGCAGATGACAGCACCGATTTGATCTTTGGACATAATTACTCCATGGAGTATTTCTGTAAACGAACTCTATTATTTATTTATTTATTTGCAAAATTTCTTTAGTTATTAGGGACCAAACTTTAGAAAGACATCTCTTATATTGTATTCAAATAACCAATAATTCAATACACCCATTCATTCACTTCTGGGCAGAAATAAGATTTTTGTCTGAAAAAAATAATCTGCACATTCAACACACAATACCTCTATGTGCCTGATTATACCTTACGAATGAAAACTGAAATAAAGCAAGCTTCTGTTCCCCAAATATGGGAACACATGATATTCAAATACCACTAAGGCAGAATCAGTATCTTACAGAAGCACTGTAGCAGGCATAAAGTCAATGTGCAATCTCTGGAATGTGTTCTTATATATGGCTTATTTTAATCTTGACTAGTTTTCTAATATTTATTTATATTATTTTTATTTAATAAAGTATTTTTATCACCTCCCAACTGACAAGGGATCCTGAACAAATAAAAATTAATTCACAAATAATTCTGCTCCTTTATCTCATCCTGAGTTTTTAAATCATTTTATGTACATGCAGCCCGCTCACTGTCATTATGTTTGGTTTATTGCTTTTTTTTGTATTTTGTTTATTGTAGTCATATGTTCTGTATTTTTCTGCAATGTTGTTTATTTTATTGTAACTTGTATCTTTATTTAATTGTAATTTGTTGTATGGGCTTGGCCTCATGTAAGCCGCCCCGAGTTCCCGTTGGGGAGATGGTGGCAGGGTATAAATAAAGATTATTATTATTATTATTATTATTATTATTATTATTATTATTATTATTATTGTTGTTGTTGTTGTTGTTGCAATTACCAAGATAAAAAACATATCTCCTAAAAGTGTCTAAAGATAATCTGAGAGTCCAGTTTTTAAAAGTGAACCCAAAAAGACCTACAGCTCAAGATGTTTTTATGAAGTAACGACTTGGGGCATACCTAAATAACAAATGCCAGTTTGCTTTTGTTTACTTAATATTTGTGCCATCACAAAAATATTTTGCAACATCCCAGTGTTCCGTATACTGTATGAATAAAGTGACAGCAATGCCAATTAAATCTACTCCTGTCCCAAGTTGCAAAATAACAAAATGAGGAAAAGTTAAAAGGAAAGGCAATACTTCTGAGAAAGGCGGAATGAAAAAGAGCTCTGAAGAAACACACCTGGAATTCTTGATCCAATTTTTTTTCTATCCACTCCGTCACATGAACTAAAGTCACTTCTCTTTCACCAAGCTTTGGTCGAGCTTTTAGCTCCAAGTAAGGTGGTTTTCTGAAACCGTACCTGAAAAGAACAGATAATGAACAATTACATTACCTTACTAATCAGATCTGTATCCTGCTCTTTCCCAATGTCGCTCAAGAAAGTACGTTTTTTCCTCCAGTCACTTCTTTTTCAAATCAGAACGGCTGACACACATAGCTTTTTTGTTAACTATTCTGTGCCTAATCAGGGATTTCACAATATATCACCGATATACACTCTCTGCAGTATGTGTGTATATATGCATGTATGAGAAGAGCACTGTTCTAGACTACATAAAATATTTGTTTCCAGTTCTGAGAGGGCAGATATGTGTATTTGTCTGTACACCTTCAAGAGGCCTGTTGACTTATGGAGATCCCATACATTTCAAGGGGCTTTCTTAGGCAAGGAGTGCTTAGAACTGGTTTTGCCAGATCCTTTCTCTGAAATAGTGCCATCAGCACCAGTTTGCATTTGTGGCAGGCATCTTCAAACTCTGCCCCTTCAGCTGTTTGGGCCTGCAACTCCCAGAAGCCCTTGACTGCTTGTTCAAAGGTCGGGTACTCTGCAAGTTGGGGGCCCAAACAGCTGGAGGGCTGCAGTTTAAGGATACCTGATTTATGGTCTCCCATTCAAGTCCTATCCAGGACTGTCCCTGCTTAGCTTCAATCAGAAAATATCTGGTGCCTTTAGTTACACCTTATCTTTAATTGATCAATTTTTACAAGTCATATTGTGATCAGAATCTTACTAAAACATGAGCATGCTGCTAACTTCTAATACTGAGCCAAGACAATTTTAGAGGATAAAATGTTGAATAGTAGTCAACAAGGCTTCATATACTTTAATCAGATAGTTTAGTAATATAAATAAATGTGTTTGGGTTCAAACTCATTCTAGAGCAGGAGTTCTTAACCAGGGGTCCACAGTCTCCTTAGCGATCTATGCAAAGATTTCAGGGGGTTCATGAGATTGAATTGGGGAAAAAATCAACTTATCTCTATTATCTCTGACCTCTATCAGAAATCTTGCATTTGCTTCACTTATGAATATATGCAATAAATTACAGTAGTATTCATTTCACATCACACTACAGATGTTACATATCTCAAAAAATTGCTTACGCTCATCCACACTTTGAGATTACAGTAACAGTTGGACCCAACATTAGATTACACGTGATCACAGTTTTGCTATGTACAAACTATTGCGCAACGTAGTTGGCCAACTATCTGGCAACACATATTCTGGGTGAAGTAGATAGCAGCCTGCAGAAAGGTTGGTAAGGATAGTAGAAATAGTTTCATGACACAGTGGGGAAATTTGAACTTCTAAATATGTACCAAAAATTACAGTTTGAACTGATGTTGCACCATATTTATCAGGTCAGGTATTGAAATTCTGGGGAAGTGGAAAACCGTAACTCTGAATAATCCTAAAATGTAATGTAAAGACATGTGTATGTTTTGTATAACTATCTGCTGCTACGTTCTGAGGTCAATGGAAACAAACTACAAACTCTAGCTGCACTTACATTAGATGCAGAATTAAAAAATGAGCTAAATAGTTACTCTAATGCACCTTCACTGTTTAAATTTGTCATTTTAAATATGCTATGTAATCTGAGCACAACTTTACATCACTTTATATTAAGAAGAAAAGGGAGGGGGTCTGGCAACATCTTGGGGACTGAAAGGTTTCCCAGATTCCAGCCCATCTTATCAAATGTAAGCTTATGCTGAAATATTGGTTAGCCTCAAAGATGTGCCTATATCCTTCCCCTGACCTCTCCTTAAGCCAAAATAAGACTGACACAGCTATCTCCCTGAAAACAACAATGAGCTTCTCTCCAAGAACATCGTCACAGAAAATTTTGTCTTCAGCATTCCTCAAGGTTCCAGTACATTCCTGTATTAAATTATATACTGAAAATTAGTAACCATAAAATTATCTCTGGTGGGAGTTGTCTCAAATGTACTAGTAATTAAAGATGTATACTATGACTTGAACATTATTAATAGAAGATTCCTGGTTTTCAATGGAATCCAACATTGCGCTCTCTCAAAAATAGTACTCCAAAGAAAGTCCTGCCGTGCAGTGGATCTCATGCCCTAGCAAGTGGATTTAGACTGCTACCATAAATTTGTTTGCATATTTCCCACAGATTGCCAATAAGATCCAGAGAGACACTTTTGCTTTTGACGTACTTCCAACATCCAGAATAAGACCAGTACTTGTTCTCGCCCATGATACTCATCCTCTGCAATCAATCCACTGTCCTAAACGGCAAAGCCGTTTCACAATATTTTAAACAGAAAAAAACTAATCTTTTCTGAACTGACTTTGTGGTTTTAGAAGCTTTAGCAAGTTCTCTGGTCACATTAAAATAGTCCTAGTCCACTTTGTAGTCCACAAGTCTACAAAAGAAGAAAATTAATAAAGATGAACATTTTGGACTTAAGACACTGTAACAATTCAGCCATGTAAAGCCTTAGCTGTAGTCTGGAGTGGTATACTGAACTTCCACCAAATGAATATTAGGCTTAAGTGACATTTGTCGTTAGGAACTAATTGTGAAATCCCAGACAGTACGACCTACATTTTTATGTTTTTAAAATATTTTACAGTGATATCATTCACAAGATGCACACAAATAATAAATCAAGCTTATGAGTTTCAAAAGAACAAATGACAAAATGTTACAGCTCTCAAGGGTGATAGTTTGAAATCAGATGTTTTCTTTTCGATACCTACCATATTCTATCAGTAGGTGGTGGTGGAATGTTTACTGCTAGGGTTCCTTTACATTCCTGTACCTCAACAGTCAGCAGCAGTGGGGTGTTGGAGACCTCTTCAATCTTTTTCTTGATGAACTCGGTCTCAGTTGCTTTCTGGAAATATTTTGACTTGGTAATTTTATCCACAAACCTCATAATTTTGCTAGTTCGATGTCCTCCCACGTACCTTAGAGAGAGAAAATAAGGAAGACTTCAATGTCAGTTTATATTAATCTCAGCAAAATAAGGATTCTTTATATTTTGTACTATTCTGCAGCTATAGCGATGGAAAACTGGAGGCCACAGCTAGCCTCTCTGCTGCCATAAGGCCATAAGTGGCAAGAATTCATGGCACTCCTGAACAAGAGCAGAAAGGACCATCTGCCTACATACAGAATAGAGCGAGAGTGCTTTCCACATATGTTGCTATTCAAAACATGGAGGGCTAAATGTGGAGCTTGTTTCCAAAACATACGAAGTCCATCTGAACAAATTTTACAGGAACCGAAAAAAACATGTTGAGCATATGCATTATTTTGCCATAAAATGCACTTTTCCAAGTTTTGTACCAAAGCGATGTGATAAGTGTTAATAATTCTAATCTATACATAACGTTCTACTCCTAACCAATAACAAGCTGCCAGCTACAATTCATTTTTCCAGCGTATTTTTTTTAATTTGGTACTTTTTGGAAACAACATCCACAAATGGCCTGAATAGGAAGCTGGACCTTTATACCTGCCCTCCTACGTTACTATCAAAATCAACAGAATAGAGGCCCAACGTCCTTTGGTCTGCATTATGGGCTTCAGTTGCATCCCCGCTTTGCAAAAAAGCCTGGTTATTACTAAGGCTTTTTATGAATCATTGCAGACTGAGTATCTCTTATCTGGAATTCTGAAATGCTCCAAAATCAGAAAGTTTTGGAGGTACTACCTACCTATCTGTGTTTGAGTAGCTGGAGAAAGACACGGGAACCTATGAAATGTCGAGAGGCCTGAATTCCCACCATTTTGTAAATCTCTGTGTCTACAAAGCAAAAATATCTGTATTGTGCAGCTGGAGAAAGACACTGGCAATTCATGGTTTCCCAACATTTCATAGATACTCGCGTCTTTCTCCAGCTGAATCAACAGGCATGAGCACTACAGCTCTGAGTACTGGGCTCACATCTACATAAAGGTATTGACTAGGATCTAGGCCAGTGATGGGCAACCTTTTGAGCTTGGTGTGTCAAAATTTGCCAAAAACCTGAGCATAACTTGGGTAGAGTGTCACTTTGAGAAAAAAACTGTAATTTTGCAATATTTATAGTTTAAATAAGAAAAATGTATATTCCATGCTGAGTTATGGAATGAACAGTACTCAAACATGCAGATGTTAAATTTGTAGAGCCTTTTACAAATTTAAGGATGGAATTAGCTTGGCTCTTATAAGGTGTACTTCTCTGTATGAGGCCGCATGTGGCCGCGTGTCATCAAAAATAACCATGTGTGTCAGTGCTGACACACGTGTCATAGGTTCACCATCACGGATCTAGGCTTTGGTTGTGAACACAGGTCTGGGGGGAGAGGAGGAGAAGGCAGGGTTTTGGTTTTTTGCATGGATATCTCCTCTGGGACAAGGCCATTGCTACTGTCATGTCTCATTCAAGAGCTCACTTCAAGTGGAGGTGGTAATGCAGAGCAGTCACCACCACAATCCCTGCTTGTGCAAAGTTTGACTGGAAACTTGGCTGTGCCATGTCCCTCCCTCCAACTCCTTTCCTGGGAGGCAGGGAAGCTTGAAAAATGTGTGTCCGGTGGCTAGACCATACTGCCACCTCCACAATTCTATACATAGTCACCTGTAATGTATTCCAATAGATTGGGGGGGGGGGAATCAGAAATATGGGCCACTTCTGGTCCCAAACATTTCAGATGAGGGATACTCAACTTGTACTGATACAGGTCAGATATTGATAACTACTACTGCCATCATCAACTGCTGCTGGATATGTGTTATGAGCTGAAATGAATTCAAGTCCATCTCTGGGAGGAAAGGTTTGGAAGCTCTTCTATGAACTATCCAGAGGTACCGGGTGTGATCCAAAAGTTTTAGTATCCCTTCCCTGTTCCCTTAATGTTTCAAGAGTTTTGGCCTTATAAACTATTCACAACGTCCTGTGCAATATAAGTAGTAATACTGTTGCCAATAGAGCTTTTAAAAAAGGAAAAGTGCAGAAGAATCAGCCTGCTTCCATTTCTATTTTCTCTTTACACAGCACCTGTGCATAACCACATCTATTTGTGCAGCAACAAAAAGAATTAGAAGGAGCCTTTTACAGATGTTGTGAAGCGGTTGGTAACACAAAAAAAACCTGGAAGATAATTGCTTGTTAAAGGGAGTGATTGATCTTTGAAGTATCTTTAACAATGTTATGGACTTCTGTTTCATATCCCATTGTTCTTAACCTTCATACTAGAAACTTTATGTTATGATTTCTGCAGCAGTTTCATGTTTGTCAGTTGCTTTGCACTTTTAATGCAGAATATCTCTCAACCAATCTAATAAAATCTAATCTATTTTAAAAGGTGCAAATGAGTGGAGATAGATTAAGAGAAATGCCTAGTTTATATATCTGAGCTCTATACAGTTCTGGCCCAGCTTACTAGTCCGAACGAATCCACCCCTATGTCTCACCTCGAAACCTAAGATCATCTGGGGAGGCCCTGCTCTCGCTCCTGTCAACAGCACAAATGCGCCTGGTGGGGATGAGAGACAGGGCCTTCTTGGTGGTGGCCCCCTGCCTATGGAACACATTCCCAATTGAGGTAAGATCGACCATCTCCCTCCTAGTTTTTCAAAAGAAACTAAAGGCATGGTTTTGGGACCAGGCTTTTGGACAATAGAGGCAAGCAGCACTTTAAGGGAATGTGACTGGAACGACGATATGGCTGATGAGACTGTTTTACTGTTTTAATGATGGCTTATGTATTGTTAATTATGCTTTTATGTTTAATTGTGGTTTTAATTTTGTAATTTGTTATGTAATGGCTTCTGAATGGGGCCCATTGTAAGCCGTCCTGAGTCCCACTTCGGGGGTTGAGAAGGACGGGATATAAATGCGAGAAATAAATAGATAATAAATAAACTATATGCAAAATAGTGCAGAATTTAGCCCTGTAGGCACTACAGCAATACAGACTGTCCTCTTTTAATATTCTCGTCATCAGTTGCAATTTGCGAAATCATTCTGCTTTTTTGGAGATGCAACATAGATCTATGTATTGTCGAAGGCTTTCATGGCTGGAATCACTGGGTTGTTGTAAGTTTTTCAGGCTATATGGCCATGAGAATGCCTCTAGAACATGGCCATATAGCCCGAAAAAACCCACAACAACCCATAGATCTATGTGTTTGTCAACAACAAAACTGTACATATGAAACCGCATCCAGATGGGTAGCATTATCAAAACACTAAGAGAAACCCTGGTATGTTTACAAGTGATTACCAACCAATTTTTCTTTTGGCCCAAACACTTCTCCTTTCCAGATGGCGCTGGCAGTGTGACAGTTGGCTATTTTTAATCAGCAAATGTGTTTTTTGCAACACGAATTGGCATAATAGAGGGCAATTTATTCACCACATTCTCCGGGAGACAATTACAGGCATTGACTCTGGAATTAGTTCTGAAGCGACGTAGATCTAATCCTTTCTTTTGCCTCTGTCATTATGTTATCACTATTATTTTTTTAATTACACACCACCATCAGTGTACAAGGCATTTTGCAAAGGCAGTTTACAATGATTAATTTGACAGTTCTCTGCTCTAGGGCTTACAATCTAAAAAGACAGGCTACACAAGAAAAGGGGATAGCACTTTAGGAGATAATTTCATCCAGTAGGTGCTGGTTGTTGTCCCCTCTCTCTTATCAAAGGGCAACTGGGATGGGGGGCTTTTCCCAGCTGCTAGGCCTAGGTATGATGGAGCCATACCTGCATTTTCTCCTTCTCTGTGTCTACAGTGGTCCCATTACATTCCTGAGCAAGGTAGACTAATGGCCTCACTGTGTACAAGGCAGTCCAAACATGCTCTAAGTGCCCAGCAATAACAACAGAGAAGTAAAATCAATGCCACCAGAGGCTGTGAAGATCTTACTCTGTTCAGGCCCACTAAAATGCATCTTTGCTACACCAGGGAATTTCTGAATATTTTGCAGAATGTGCACAGGTAGTTATAAATCAGAGCTTTCCAAACTTTTCATATTGGTGACACGCTTTTCAGATACACATCATTTCACGACAAAGTAATTCGGTGTTACTGGCAAACTAGATGTTATGAGTTACAGCCAAATAAATAAATTGCAATGATGAAATGTATGGGGAAATAGGATGTCATGAAAATCTTCAATTTACATTTTTTAAAGATTTATGGCTTATTCCACATACATTCAGAAGGTTCTTGCTACTTTTTCATGACACACCTACACATTGCAGCCAACACACTAATGTGCCAAGACACCTAGTTTGGAAAGCTGTGGCATAGGATCCTTCCACGCAGCCTATATCCCAGAATATCAAGGCAGAAAATCCCCCAATCTGCTTTGAACTGGGTTACATGAGTCCACACTCAGATAATGTGGGATTTCCTGCCTTGATATTCTGGGATTGCTAGCAGTCTGAAATGCCATCTCCTCACTACCCCTTCTGTGTAGAAACATATGGGACAAATTATGTGCTGATGTACACAACTAATTTGCAGCAGCTGAAGATCATACTAATTAAAAGGCGAACATATTTCACTGTTTGGGGGCACATATTAGCTGTTTGCAAGGTTTCTTGGATCCAAGAAAACAAACACAGACCCAGATTGGCTGCATCTGACTAGAGAAAAAAATTGAGTTACTTGTTCATTCTGTCAGCCCTGTTTCAAAAGCCCCTAATCATCTTCAACTTGCTCATAAGCAATCACATTTGAAAAGCACAGAGTATTTCACTGATTTCAGTTGAGACTTCTCTCGTTACCCTTTTAGTCGCCCTTCTCTGGACACATTCCATCCTGTCAAGGGAGATGTTGTCAGGCTGGAATGTGTCCAGAGAAGGGCAACTAAAATGATCAAGGGTTAGGAGAACAAGCCCAATGAGGAGTGGCTTAAAAAGCTGGGCATGTTTAGCCTGCAGAAGAGAAGGCTGAGAAGAGACATGATGAAAGGCATGTATAAATAGGTGACGAGAAGTCATAGGAGGGAGCAGGCTTATTTTTTGCTGCCCTGGAGACTAGGATGTGGAACAATGACTTTAAACTACATGAAAGGAGATTCCATCTGAACATTAGGAAGAACTTTATAATGTTGAGAGCTTGTTCAGCAGTGAAACTCTCTGCCCCGGAAAGTGGTGGAGGCTTCTTCTTTGGAGGCTTTTAAGCAGAGGCTGGATGGCCATCTGCCGAGGCTGCTTTGAATGCAATTTTCCTGCTTCTTGGCAGAATGGGGTTAGACTGGATGGCTCACAAGGTCTCTTCCAACTCTCTGATTCTATGAGACAGTTATCAGTTAGACACCACAGATTTCTAAACAATATCATATATACATAAAGCATTTGAGTAGTTTAGGAGGTTTTCAACTGGGAATGAATACCTGGTGTTTATTGTATGCACTATTTGTGGTAACACCCAGAAAGACACAAAGGAAACAATGTCCAGCTTGTGGCAGTAAAACAAAAATACTCACCCTTCTGCTCCTGGTACTAAAGGTTTCTCACTCCCTGTTGCTTCTGGAGGATCATCTTCCTCAGAGGAGCCCGCACTAGAAGATTCCTCATCACTGTCTGCAAGGCAATATGCCCTTGGTCTGACACTGAGAAGGGTATGGAAAGGAAAAGACACATTTCAGTGTGGACATAAAGCTTCATTTGTGTGGCTCAGATGTCCCTTTGTGTCTCTCCAGGATTTTAAAATATTGTTTTCTTTTTAATAATCAAAACATGCACTGAGGCTTAGACATAGCATTATTCAACTTTATTTCTACTGTCCTTCCCTTCAATACAGCTATGTCACACCTTCCTTAAAAACATAACACATATGTGAGAATCCTGCATGCAGTCAAATGGAAAATGAAATGGTTCAAAGACGTCAAAAACTGCATCTTCTTCATAAATAACTTTGCAGAATCATTCAAAAAGAGTGCAGCAAACCAGATAATATCAAATATGATGGACAGACCTTCGACCTAGGAACTCCAAAAGGATTTCTATGTATGAAACACCGAGGACTGATTTTGTCAGAGTTGTGTGTCACCACCAGAAGAATGTTCATGCCTTTCAGATCTATACAGATAGACTTCTTACTATCCCTTGAACAAGTTGAGTCACTTCTCCCTACCACAATGGTTGCTAACAGGAGCAGATCAAGTGTTTGAAATATTATGATCTTGGATTCAAAGTTTAACTGGCATGCTCACAATGTAAAGATATAATGCTCATAGGTTTCTTTAATGTACAGCACCTCTCATCTATTGTAATGTACTCAAAAGACCTTATTGTGGCACTTCTTCAAAGCTAGGGCTATATGGCATATGTTGTGTGTATGTGTATAGAGAGCATATATGTGTATGTTATCACAGCATACCTGTATTTTTTCAGTAGCTTTTAACATAGAATGAAATATATTCACAAAATGGGTGGAGGAATGCACTTGATATAGGTAGAAAAGGGGCTGAAGACACATTATGTGCTAAACTGGGCTGAGAGCACTGTTAAAGAAAGAATAGATTTTTGCGTAAAACCCAAGACTGACTTCTCTGTTGGCCAACTTTATGTCATCTACCAAAAAACGCAACCAGCCCCATAAGCTTTTTAGAGGCTTGGTTATAAAAAAGTTGCTTTGTGGATGCTTCATCAATTTGGTACAGAAAAGAATATTTCCTAACTTTTGTTATTTTCTTTCCAAACACTCTAAGAATCACATTCCTTCCCCTTTCCTCCTTTTCCAACCCCCTCCCAGTCATGGGATTCTAAGCACAAACATCCGTTTTGAATCCTTTTAGGGAGGAATGGCCAAGGAGACCATTTAAAATTGAAACACTGCAGGAAAGATTAAGCCCTCTTCGTCTTCTTCTCTCCTTTTCTATTTTCAAAAAAAGTGCTGGGGCTCTATTACTAGGGCCCTTCCACACAGCCCTATATCCCAGAATATCAAGGCAGAAAATCCCACAATATCTGCTTTGAACTGGGTTATCTGAGTCTTGTGGGATTTCCTGCCATGATATTCTGGGAATAGGGCTGTGTGGAAGGGCCCCTAGAATAGTCATATAATGTGTATTTAGTCCTTTGCAATCCTCCACTAAGGACATGTAGCCATTCCCATTTGTAAATAAGCTTTTAAAAGATTGTATCAAAAAAGCCCCATCTTTCCATAATCTATGTGATAATCTCACAAGTGATGGGATATAGGGCTGTGCACATGTATCAGATGATCATAAAGTGGCAGAAAGTTGACAAGTCCTGCTCTGCCAATGCTATCATGTTTTTTTCCCAAGCCAACAGGCACCACACACAGCATATGGCAAGATGTGACAACAGACATCAGGCAATTCCAACAAAAGTTACTGTATATACTCGAGTATAAGCCTAGTTTTTTCAGCCCTTTTTTTAAGCTGAAAAGGTTCCCCTCAGCTTATACTCGAGTCAATGTTATTTATTATTTTACTCTTTTATTATTGTTATTTTATTACATTTATTATTTTACTCTATTTAATATTATTATTGCATTTATTATTTTACTCTACTAGTATTATTGCATTTATTACTTTACTCTATTACTTATTATTAGAAGGATACATTATTACATTGACATTGAAGAACGTTAGAATAATGGTTTAATCAGAGTTGGACTGTCTTATCTTAAATTACAGTTTTATGTAAACACTAGCTGTCCCCTGCCACTCGTTGCTGTGGCCCAGTCTGTGTATATGTGTTTTGTGTGTGTATATGTGTGTGTTTGCGTATATATGTGGTTTTGTGCATACGTTGTAATTTTTTTTTTGTTTTTTTGGCTTTTTAAGTCTCTTTTGCTGTTTATTTTCAGTGCTTTTATGAGTGATGGCCACTCATTGGCCTGATATTTGTATTGTGTCCAAATCTGGTGTCAATTCATCCAGTGGTTTTTGAGTAATGTTAATCTCACAAACAAACATTACATTTTTATTTATAAAAACATTGAACCTACTGATGCTTCAGTTAATGTAATTTTATTGGTATCTATTTTTATTTTGAAATTGACCCATAGCTACTGCATTTTCCACCCTCGGCTTATACTTGAGTCAATACGTTTTCCCAGTTTTTTGTGGTAAATTAGGTGCATTGGCTTATATTTGGGTCGGCGTATATTCAAGTGTGTACGGTACCAATCTGTACCATGATGGCAGGCTTTGCACATTAATAAATAAAGTGCTTCTTTCTTCCCAACTTCACCCTACCATTTCAATATTATCTAGGACAAAACTGCAAATTTTCCAAATGCTGGTTTCAAAGAATACCATCTTAACAACCGGATCCTGTAAATTACTACACTTCAGCAGCAGAAGAGTGAACATTAATTAAAACCACCTCTTATTTTCAATAAAGCAAACCCTCTGAATGGTCTCAGCACTAACAGAATCAATGCTTCATGTGGAATGAGATGATGTGACAAATACCACTCACCAGAGAAAACATCCACAGATTGTTGAATCCAAATATAATTTAAAAGGAAAGAAAATGAAGAAGGAAAATGAAACAAACAAACAAAGGTAAGTTAGAGAAGACATAGTATGTTACGTTTCTGCCTATTTTTTGTAGGAGCGTCTTTGCTGGGCTAACAAGAGGAGAACTTAACAAGCTAGCTGACAATTAAACAAAGCTCTTATTTAATGTACTAGCTGTGCCCGCCACACATTGCTGTGGCCAACCTCCCTCTTTCCTACCTTCCCTTTTTTTTCTTTCTCTCCTTCCTTCCTTCTCTATCTCTTTCCTTCCTTCCCCCCTTTTCCTTCCTCCTCTCTTTCCTTCTCTCCTTCTCTCCTTTCTTCCCCTCCTTCCTTTGCTCTCTCTTTCCTTCCTCCCTTTTCTCCTTCCTTCTCTACCTTTTTCCTTCCTTCATTTGCTCTTTGCTTCCATCCTTTCTTCTCTCTTTCCTTCTTTCCTCCCTTCCCTTTCTCTCCTTCCTTCCCTCCCTCTTTCCTTCCTTCCCCTTTTTCTTTCTTTTTCTCCTTCCTTCCTTCTAAACCTCTTTCCTTCCTTCCTCCCTTTTCCTTCCATTTCTCTCCTTTCTTCCTTCTCTATCTCCTTCCTTCGCTACCTCCTTTCTTCCTTCGCTCTTTGCTTTCATGCTTCTTTCTTTCTGTCTGTCTGTCTGTCTTTCTCCCCTTCCCTCCCTCCCTCTTCCTTCCCTTTTTGTCTGTATCGCCATTTAGCTTTTTGTCATTTAGCTTTTTTGGGTTTTTAAGTACTTTCTGCTGGTTTTTTTGGGGGGGGGGGGTTATGAGTGATGGTCACTCGTTGGCCTGTTAGGGGCATAGTGTCCAAATTATTATTATTATTTTGCTTTTTAGGTCTCTTCTGCTGTGTTTTTCTGTGTTTTATGAGTGATGGTCACTTGTTGGCCTGATAGGTGTCTTGTGTCCAAATTTGGTGTCAATTCCCCAGTGGTTTTTGAGTTATGTTAATCCCACAAATGAAGATTACATTTTTATTTATATAGATTTAAAAATACACGTTCTTAAGCCATGGCACAGTATCCGATGTACAGATATAATATTAATTCTTAATAATAGGGAGTTACATGAAAGTTTATAAGTAGTATTTTTGGGAGAAAATAAGATCCATATAGTCTTGTGCATGAGACTCAAATTCCCGCTTATTGTTCATATATGATAGGAGAGACTAACCAGCCATAACTCAACAGGGGAAGGGAATGGCTAAAGGGGAAAATCCCAGGGACTTTACCATAATGACAAACTCTCCCTCTCAGCTTTCACTGAAGTACTGGAGACATATACCCCCGATTTAGTATGCATAATGGATGTACTGTGCTCCTCAGCCACATTTTGTTCTAACCCAATATTCCCCATGCAGCTTGAGATACTCTGCCAAAAGTGCAATGTTCAATCTCTATGTAATGGATCTAGGAAGAGAGCCTTACTGCTGTCTGCCTCCTCTCTGGCAATGTGGACAAGTGAACCCTCCAGCACAGGGGAAAAACCTCACAAACTCTAAACAAAATAAAACATTAGGTGGACAGAGAAGAAGAGAGGCAAGATTGCTGCCTGTTGTAGCCTTTTAATGATTTAAATAAGAATTGCATAATCTACTGTTCTGCACCAGCCAAAGATATTTTTTCATTTTTCCCCCTCTTTATATTTATTGGCAATAGGAGTATTACATATTCCCTCCCACCCAATCATACCTGGGACAGGGAGTTAGAAATTAAAAGAGAATAGGGAATATTATTAATCCCCTGTTCAGTGAACAGTTGCTTAAGTGAATCACAATATGCCAAAGCTAAAAACGAGGCAGGCATCTAGTCATTCAGCTGAGCAATGATTTGCAAGTTGTCCCAGAAGCATACAAAAGTCATCAAGCACGCTTTAATGTACTTTGAGATCAGTTTTAATTGAATAAGAACAATACTTCCCCATAACTGCAACAGAAATCCCTGATTATAAAGTAAGAATATAAGACTCATTATTTCATTCAAGGCACAAATCTATAATTACTGTATCAAACTGGTACTAATAAAAAAAACGTAACAGCAGCAGAATTAAGACTTACCCTTCTTTGCCAATTTCTCCAACTTTAAGTGCTTCGCTAAGAGGCTCTTTCCCAAGTTTGGTCAAATTCATTTTGGTCTCGAGGGTCATTAGAAAAGATCCATTGTAGGAAATTTCCAAGTCAATCCAGAGCCCTAGAATCATTGGGAAACAGCACTTCAAAATTTCACTGATAACATGATAAATTACCCAGGAAACATTGCCTACAGACATTTTCTTTTATATTGCCAGATTTGATCTCGACCCCATTCGCAACAGATGACTTGCAACATGGCAAGCCAAGGCTATTATGACTAAACAGGAGGATTTTAAAATGTGCAAACACTAACATAATGTGGAGGCAAGTCTAGAAGTTTCAGTGTTGTAACAGGACAGATGGTATTCGACATGCCGTTTTTTGAGCAAGTCATAGTTATATTTTGCTTGATTAGTTTTGCTTGAAAATGAAAAGCGCCAGGCCCAACTTAGAAGGAAAAAAAAAGACTGCAGTCCAGAAAGGTTTTTGTCACCTAAAGAAATTCTGAAGACTTATTTTTTTCCTGCCACATACACCTGTTTCAAATGATAAAAGTGCTGGCTTTAGCCTATAAAGCCCTAAACTGTTCTGGCCCAGCTTATCAATCCGAACGTATCTTCCCTTACGTGTAAACTGTAGGGGTGATGCAGATATCCGAAATGGCTTGGGATTGTGTAATAGCTGGTCTATTTTAACCTTTGTTTTAACCTTCATTTTTAATTTTTGTGGTTTGAAATTTTATCTTGGCATTTTAATGATGATATTTTTATTTATCTTTTAACTTAATCAAGTTTGAATGTATGTTAGTTCACTATTATGGGAGTCTTAGGATAATGATTATTGTCTATTTGAGTACGTTTCTGGGGGGTTTTTTTTAATGTTGATACAGTCAGTGGACTAATCAATAAACTTTGCTTTGCATTTATCTCCCCTTACGAACCTACCAGGAATTTAAGATCCTCTGGGGAGGCCCTGCTCTTGATCCCGCACATTTGGAGGGCCTTCTCAGTGGTGGCCCCTTGGCTGTGGAACTCCCTTCCCAGGAATATTAGATCAGCCCCCTCCCTCCTGACCTTTCAGAAAATTGTGAAAACCTGGCTCTTTGCGCAAGCTTTTGGAATCTCAGTGTAACAAGATAAACACAGCATTATGAAATAATGAACATGGAACGGCCTGAATGATGAAAAAGGATAAGGAGTTGAACTGGAAGACATTAATTATTATAGTTTAATTTATTTTTATATGGATTTTATTATGTGTTTTTAACTGTTTTTAACTGATGTATGTATGTTGTGGCATCTAGTTGTTGCCAGTCTGTACGCCGCCCTGAGTCGCCTTCGGGTTGAGAAGGGCAAGTGCTGCAAATAAATAAATAAAACCTGCTGCTAGAGAACCTGCAACACTGCTGCCTCAGGTCAGGTATGAAAGGGGGAAGAAGTTAATTGCACAATAATTCCATAGACAACAGCAAGAGGCTGTCTGAACCTATATCAGAGTCAACATTGCGTTCTTGCCAGCTGCTTCTCTGCTGAGCAGCTTATAAGAGGTAAAACAATTCAAAAGGCATGGTGGCCAAGGTATGGATTGGACTGGACACTGCAGCAACAAACTGTCTACCGATTACAGTTTAATAATAATAATAATCATCATCATCATCATCATCATTTATTTATATTCTGCCCTATCTCCCAAGGGGAGCCAGGGCAGATTCCAACAAACAAAAAAGGCAAACATTCAATGCCTCAGTACAATAACATATGTAGACATAATATCCCAAAATAATCCCACATTTGAAAATAACATATAACATGACCTATCTAAAAATTATATCTAACATAAAACCGAAGTATAAAAATATCAAACATCCACATTAATTTACAGGAGCCAACGAAGGTTCACTCAGATATGTGGGTTGTTTTTTGTGGATATTTTCTCCAAAAATAGTGGCTACCATTGGTTTAATTATAACTGCCATATGTTTTGACACAGAAGTAGCATCTGTCAGATTAATGCAGTTTGACACTACTATAACGTCCATTGTTCAATATTATGGAATTATGGGAGCTGTATTTTTACAAGCCTCTATAAAAATACGAAGATGCTGGTTTATCGCCAACTACAACTCCCATGATTCCATAGCATGGAACCATGGCAAATGAAGTGGCATCAAACTGTAGTACAGGTATACTTTAAGGCAGGGGTCCTCAAACTAAGGCCCGGGAGCCGGATGCGGCCCTCCAAGGTCATTTACCCAGCCCTCACTCAGGGTCAAGCTAAGTCTGGATTGACTTGAAAGCACACAACAACAACAACAACAACAACAACAACAACAATCCTATCTTATCAGCCAAAAGCAGGTTCCACACTTCCCATTGAAATACTAATAAGTTTATATTTGTTAAAATTGTTCTTCATTTTAATTATTGTATTGTTTTAAGTGTTTTTTGCGCTACAAATAAGATATGTGCAGTGTGCATAGAAATTCATTCATTTTTTTCCAAATTATAATCCGGCCCTCCAACAGTTTGACGGACTGTGACCTGGCCCTCTGTTTAAAAAGTTTGAGGACTCCTGCTTTAAGGCTTCACTTCCAATATTTAATTAAAATTAAATAAATATTATTATGAAGGGCCCTGTGTGAGGCACCCAAACCTTGACTCTTTTGTCCTGAACTGCAGTTTGTTGTCAAGATCAGCTCAATACATTTTGCTCTTTCCCCGCTCTATGTACAGAAGCTGCCGGTTAAAAGTTACGTCAGCCCTGGAAAGGGGAGAGCATAATTCAGTAAGCCAGAGACATCACGTTATTGGGGGGCGGGGCGTTGAGGTCCAGCCACCTTGCATAGCAGAAGAGACCAGCATTGGAGTTCAAGTGGAATAGCTGGGAGGCTACTGCAATGGGCTTTCTGAAAGAGCTGTCTCAGGTGACCACCCTCTCAGCATAGAGTGCATTTACACTGCAGAATTAATGCAGTTTGACACCACTTAAACTGCCATGACTCAGTGCTGTGGACTTGTGGGAGTAGTTATTTTACAAGGCCTTAAACCTCCTTTGCCAAAGTGTGGTGGCACCTCACCAAACTACAAATCCCAGGTTAGCCATGGCAGTTAAAGAGGCATCAATCTGCATCAATTCTATACAGATGTACCTACCCCTAATGGCAGTCAATACTGCTCTCACAAAGAGCCCCTTTTCCTGGAGCAGCAGGCCAGGTAGTGGATTGGAAAGGGTGAAGTAGACAGAGACAGCCAGCTGCATCATCAGATCTAAACAGGTCACAATACTAAAAGATCTCAAATCGCTTATCTGCCCCATTAATTTCAGACAGATGCTGAATTCAAGATACAAGATGTGCAGAACTGTCTGCAACTGTATTGTTTCTGTTTTCTTTTGTCCGGTATTCAACAATTTGGAAGAAGGAAGCTTTAAGAAAACATCTGTGAGACAGAGAGATAAACGGCCACTTAGCAGATTCAAACCATTGTTTCTCTCTTGCTAATAAAGACAGGAAATGGAAAAAAAATCTCAGAGCTTCTGCAGTATTCACAATGCTTCTGGAAGAAATATGTTTTTTAGCAGGAGCTGACAATGAAGACCTCAAAAGGTCAGAACGTGCTCTACCCATTCAATGACGGCAGCATTGTTTTTAAATATGTTCTGGACAGTTAGAAGCTACATTTACTGGGGATGTAAAAATGTCTTTTAAATTTATTTTGTATTTATTTCATGCTCTGTCTGACTGGGCCTAAGGCACATACTCAACAGTGGCAATAAATTACTTAATAAACAGCAGGAGGAATGAAGGCCTATCTGGATTAGAAGAACCAGAATGCCTTTATTTTACAGACCATCTGAACATCCCATTGCAAATGTCTAGGCTTTGCAGGTAAGCACTAAATGAAGACCAGCCAAACAACAATATGGTCTCGTCAGATTATATGCTCAGCTGTGGTTTTTATTGTAGTATTCTTAAGGAGGTTATTCTTAGTTGATAAAGTATTTTTTTAACTGACTGAGACAATCACACCAGCAACCACCTTTTTATTTTTTAAGTCCAGCATCCTTTTTCAAGAGCCAACTAATTTGAAAACCCTATTAAAGAAAAAAGAATATCCCTTTTCATGCTCTGGAACAAGCTCATCATCACTGATGTTCTCCCACATTAAAGAGGGAGCAGTAGCAAAAAGGTCAAAAGGTATAGCATCCCCTTATGTCAGTGGTTCTCAACCTGTGGGTCCCCAGGTGTTTTGGCCTACAAGTCCCAGAAATCCCAGCCAGTTTACCAGCTGTTAGGAATTCTGGGAGTTGAAGGCCAAAACATCTGGAGACCCACAAGTTGAGAACCACTGCCTTATGTTAATCAGATAAAAGCAATCTTATCAATAAGATTACACTTGGAACCAGTTTTTAAAACTTCTGACTCTACATTTCTTTGAATGACTTCTTTCACAGTCATACGTTGCCAGCAGTGAGTGCACCACTGGAAGACAAAAGACAATTGCTGGCACCTGCAAACCCTGCATGGGCCAAAATGCACCACTATCATTTTGTATGACTGGAAGAGACTCTTCGCCATGATCAGGGTCATTTGATGACTTTTAAAGAAATGCTTCAGGGATGCCTTGCTGTTCCAAGAAATGTTTCCAGGATATAAAACCAGCTGTAGGCTACCCCGAGTCCCCCCTCGGGGGTTGAGAAGGATGGGATACAAATGCTCTAAATAAATAAATAATAAATAATAAAACTGGTCCAAGAAAGTGAATTTATAATGAAAAATGGGGTGGTGTTGACAAACTTTCAGAGAGGAGACAAAGAGCTGGGGTGGAAATTTTAACAAATCACCTGAGGGTTATATGCTGCTGTCTATATTATCTCCTGAACAATGTTAGATCTAGAACGTTATCACACTCAACGTGAGAAATGCCTTTTCTGTAGCCAATCTGTGGCTTTTGATGGATGACTATTCCAAATCCGTCCGATGTTCCCCAATGTCACAGCTTCTGAGTAGTGACTCCAAATGAGGTAGCCATAACTGACCCTGCACCTCCACTCCTGAGTGCCACCTGTCTCCCTACCTTCCCTTAAAACTATTATACATAAAAAGGGGTTGCAATCAAATAACCTTAAGGAGCCCTGGTCAACATCACTGCCTTCCTTTTTTTGTTTTTCCTTCTTTTTTTTTGACCAACCTTGTGCTACTCTGTGAGTTCACAATCTCCATCATGATGGGGAAACAGAAAAACATTTTCCTATTTGTACAGAGCTGTGCAGTTCTGACATTTCAACAACAACAACAAAAGAAACAACGTGAAAGTGGAAAACATGAATGCTCTACTTGGGGTCTTTCACTGACTGCCAGTGGAAGAGCAGTGCAAGTTGATTCAACAAAGGAAAACACTGCCCCCAAAACACCCCCTAGAGACTCATCATTGGCACAACTGACTGGATGCAGATGGGAGTATGATCACACACCAAAGGCTGAGCCTTTGACATGTACCGAGAAAAAAAGCTACCAGTGAAGATGATTCAGGAATCCATCTTGAAAAAGCTACTGACTAAATGCTCTTTGCATATGAGTCCCTAAAGCAGTGGTTCTCAACCTGTGGGTCCCCAGGTGTTTTGGCCTACAACTCCCAGAAATCCCAGCCAGTTTACCAGCTGTTAAGATTTCTGGGAGTTGAAAGCCAAAACATCTGGGGCCCACAGGTTGAGAACCACTGCCCTAAAGGTTACAGACAAAATGGGCAGTGAATTATATGCTCATATCCATAGGGACTTGTATGTAAAAGGTGCCTTTGTGACAAGGTCCCTAGGCAAAAATCATCTAACCTGTTTAAGGTCAGTCAGCTATTCCTCTGTAAAAGTAGACAATTTCTGCTGGAAAGAATAGCTTAATGTTATGAGGGCACATAATCATAATAATATTTTCTCTGAATGGAAAAACTTTCTGTTTTGAGAAAAATACTATTTTTTCCAAAGAATTCAAAGCAAGATGATTCTACATAATAATCAGCAAGAGTCTATATCATGCATTTCCCCTGTTTTCAGATACTGCTGGGAAAGGAGAAAGGCTTTTATGAACAATCAAACCTGCTGACTGCTAATAAAAATGCCATTGGAACATCTAATGGGCCCATTTTATAATCTTCCCCAAAGTGAGTATAGAACTCAACAGCTATAAATACAGAATGTTTTCTGATTTCAGTAGTGAAATAAAAGGACACCTGGAGCAAGTCAGATTTCACAAGTATCTGTAGCCTAAAACTCACTATTTATTATGCAATCCATGAGCCAGAATACTCTAAACAATAATTTAAAACAATATAATATATTAGTAAAAGGAAACCATTTAGTCAGATTATTGAAGGAGGGAGGGGGCATTCTGATTTGAATTTTCCACTATAGCAGATAAATCTATCAGCACAGAGGATAAAAAAGCAAGTGTGCTGTGCAGCATACCCAAGTGTTGCTGTGTTCCCTTATAAAAATAGAACAATACAATAACTGGCACAACATAGAAAATGGTTTTTAAAGAGCTGAGAGTAGGATGATAGAGTCAGTGTTTTCCATGGAATACAGATTCATTTCTTCTGTCCAATGTCTCCTAGTCAGATTGGTTTCATTCTGTGTTTTAATTATTTTGATTCCCTTGAAAACAAAACATAACAGAATAACTAAATATAACAGCAGATTTGTCAATTAAGTATTCAGCTTGATACCATCTTGGAGCCTGGCTATCTAGCAGTAAAGTGAGGCAAGATGGAAAGGTGGGTTTCCGTCTCAAGTTTATATTTGTTAAAATTGTTCTTCATTTAATTATTCTATTGTTTTTAAGTGTTTTGTACTACAAATAAGATATGTGCAGTGTGCATAGGAATTCATTCATATATTTTTTTCAAATTATAATCCGACCCTCCAACAGTTTGAGGGGCTGTGACCTGGCCCTCGGTTTAAAAGTTTGCGGACCCCTGGTCTATACTGACAAATCTCCTTCTCTCAATCCCTGTGACACAAGAATGCTGCCCAGCTTCACCTTTTGGCTAATTGAAAACACCTTCTGCTACTGTACACACTCAAAATTTAGGACACAAGGTTTTATCTATTCATAAAAATGATATTCACATCACATTCCTAACTGAAGGAAAAACTTGAAGGATAGCCCATATGCAACTTTAAAATATTCCCCCTTAAATGATGAAATACCTTATTTTCTTTCTCACTTTCCACTTTCTTTTTGCCCTAGTTCTGGATGGAAAAAAATTCTCCTTTCCAAATGAAAAGACATACATCTCTTCAAATCCAGAAACACATTTTTCCTATTTGTGTATAAAATAGTGTAAAACCAAAGAAAATGAACTGTCATACAAAGGGAATAAAGACAAACTAAATCTAGCCAACATTTACATATATGGGCAACTCTGCAATTTAGAATATTCTTGGAATTATAAATACATAATCATCACATTCACAGCCCAACAATACCCTTTAAATGTTATCTAGGAACAACAGTGTATCATTAGGCAGACCTCAAGTAGTTGCATTATAAAAAATAGTATTGAAAATTAAAAACCCAAGATGTTACCTTTATAATCAATGGAAGGTTTATAGGCTTGAAGAATCTTCGGCACAGCAATCCCCATGTCCAGCTCCGTTAGTGTTAGTTCATTCATGAAGTAGGGCAACTAGAAAGTAGAAGGGAAGTGGAGAATTAGGAAGACAGAGTCCTTTTAAAGAAGGAATGGGCAACTGCTTTGGATGAAGCTCAGTAATTTTTCCGGGTTGGTCAAGTGCTTGTGTCTTTTTGGGGGGCAGGGGCACACAGGAGGGTATCAACTTCTGTGTAATCAGTTGAATACCTACTGTAAAAGCATATACATACATCTTCATAATGCATGTTACCTACACAAATGGAAGGTAGATTAAGATTACTTGGTTTTTTTAAAAAAATATTTAAATTCATTAAAATCCTGTCACATGCTAACAAAAAATAAAATCCCCTCACTCATGTATGGCTATTATTAAATGTTAATCTACATATACAAAAGTCTTACAAATATCCTGTTTACTTGAATCTAATGCTCACATTTTTTTTCCTTGCTAAAGGTTAAATTTCCTTGCCAAAATTAGAGTGTATATTTGATTAGCGTAATATCATAATCTTAGTGCTGAGCCAAAGCAAAAGGTGAAGTTGCTTCACAGGCACCTGAAATTCCTATTTGAGGGGTGCCATCTCTAACTTAATTGTCACGGATCAATGGTATGAGATCCTGGGATTTGTAGTTTGGTGAGGCGTCAGCAGAGAAGGCTCAAGATCTTGTAAAACAAAAATCACCCTTTGTGGGGTTTTTCTATCAGATAGGAACTTCCATGTAGAATTATCCTCTTTCTAGTCTACACTAGAGGTAGACCAATTACACCCCTGTGGCTCCTCTTTTTCATTCTCCAACATCCTACAGATGCCCAAGACTGTTTTTTATCTGGTCAAAGGAAACATGAATTGCATATTCTGGAACCCCCCCCCCCCCCCCCCCCCCCCCCCCAAGTTGTGGCCACCTGCTTTCTGCATTTAAAAAAATCCCTGTTTTCCAAATGTAGAGCTGGACATCCAGCAACTTCCTTGTTTTGGGTGTGTATGGCATTTTTGGCAGCCCACGTGCCCTCACTTTGTGCCAAAGGCATAAAACTGGCTTTCAGACCATGCACTGTAGTCTGCATTTGGGCTAGACTATCCTATTAATGAACTTTGTTGTCTTTCTGGAGCCAGCATGGTGTAGTGGTCTGAGTGTTTTACTGTAGCTCTGGTTCCTTGCTCAGCCACCGAAACCATAATGTGACATTGGCCAAGTCACACTCTGACAGCCTCAGAAGAAGGTAAAGGCAAATCCCCTCTGGACAAATCTTGCCAAGAAAATCCGATAGATTTTGCCTTAGGATCACCATAAATCAGAAATGACTTGAAGGCATACAGCAATAAGGTTTCTCTGGCAGCTTTTCCCAGCTGAACAGCAAAATATAAATGCTTTGAACAAACAAGCTGATGAATAAATCAAATACAGTCCTCCGAGAAATTTGAAAGGAAGACTGAAGCAGGAATGTATGACTTCCTGAAGCCTGTTTTAGACTCCTGAAAGGAGTCCTGAAGCTGGCAAACCTCCCAGGTTAGGTTGTGGTCAAACAAGCTACACAAGCTTTCCTATAGTTCAGAGGAAAACAGGTTGTTGCCCTGGCACAAGAGGGCAAGGAAACATCCTCCTGCTAAACAACATAGTCTTTATGATGGAAGGGCAGCAAGTGTCCGTACCTTTATTTTGCTAAGCTTCATTTGTATCTTCTTGGAAACCATGTCAGACCAGTACTTTTCTCCCAAGAAATCCCAAAAGATTCTTCCAAGCAAAGCATTTACCCATGCTTCCTGCTCCTCTTCGTCACAACATGTATCTGGCAACTGGTTTAAAAAAAGAATTTTCTACTTTTAGCAATCTTCACAACATTACTAAAGAGAAAGTTCAGTCAATTTCATAACGACTACTGTGTCTGGATGGGATAAGGAAAGATTACAAATATCACCTTGATATAACTTCTGGTCGGAGGTACAGCTTGAGGGGCAGACTGAGAGCTGGCCTAGGTCTGTATGGAGAACATCCCTCTCAGTTTCTAATGGTTTCAAATTGCAGGAAAGGAGATTCCATCTCAACATTAGGAAGAATTTCCTGACTGTAAGAGCTGTTCAGCAGTGGAACTCTCTGTCTCAGAGTCTGGTGGAAGCTCCTTCCTTGGAAGCTTTTAAACAGAGACTGGTTGGCCATCTGTCAAGGATGCTTTGATTGTGCTTTTCCTGCATAGCAGAATAGGGTTGGACTCGATGGCCCATATGGTCTCTTCCAACTCAATTGTTCTATGATTCTATGATCTTCCCTGTATTGAAAAGCTAAGACAGGGTGCAATCCCATTGCTCTGATTCCCTATCCAAACCGGTAAAGATGTTCTTGAGAAAGGAGCTCATTCATGTTATTTTTCTGGACAGGTACTATACCACTTCCAGAATATCTACTTATAATTTAAGAAGACCATGCTCTGTATATGCCCTCAGTATGTGAAAGGAGTGGGGTGGGTACTATGAAAAAGATACTCGTCAAACCTCTAGAACAGCCTCCCTGGTAACTTTACCTCTCTTTCAGCACTAGGGGAGAACTTTTCATTCACTCAGATATTGTAAACAACATGTGTTTTAAATAGATTTCAGATTCTTACTCTTTTAGTTTTGCTATGGTTTTCAAAATTGAGCTGTTACTTGTTTGATTTTTTTTCTCCACGAGGAAGGAATGTTTTGGGATGCATCTTTCATGTTCTTTTTCAATATTGGGTCTGCATTGATTTTTACTATGCAAGGCATTTACATAATATGGTACAGTCACGTATAAGCTGGGGGTCATTCTGCTGCAGAGATCAAAAAGCATCAGCGATACCTCAGCCGAGGTGGCCACCACTGTCATTTCCCCGCCCAGGCAGTAAAAAAAGGGCAGAAGTGGCACCATACAAAGAGAATAAAGGAGAGCTGATGCTTCTTTTAGGTCCTCCCAGGACAGACTAAGACCTCACCTTTCACCATTCTTCTCAGACAGTGGCTCTCAACCTGTGGGTCCCTAGATGTTTTGGCCTTCAACTCCCAGAAATCCTAACAGCTGGTAAACTGGCTGGGATTTCTGGGAGTTGTAGGCCAAAACACTGGAGACCCACAAGTTAAGAACCACTGTTCTAAGCAAAGGGGATAATCCAGTACAGTTAAGGTACAGTACTCACATAACTTCATGGTTAAGTTGACCCAGATTTTCTAGGTTCATTTTTTACTTACCCATGACGTAATGGCTAGCACTTTAAATGTAACTATTACTTAGAATATATAGAAATCAGCAAATAGTACGATGTGGTATAAGCAGAAAACATACTCAAATGGGCAGAATACCTGGAAAATTAAGCTCTTCCCAGCACTACACAACTCAGTGCAATACTATTGTGTGGAAGAGGTGTTAACAGTGAACATAACACTTAAAGAAGAACACTTTAACCATATACCTCACCTTCTTCACAATTGAAGGGCTGCTCTCGGCACTCTGAACTGGACTAGCTACAGGGCTTGTATGTTCTTGTGGAATACACTTTGCCATGTAGACATTATAATCCAACAACATTTTTTGTCTTGCGCTAGCCGCCAGCTCCTTCTGTTTTGGCTGAGAAAGGATTTCTTCTACGCTTCCTTTGCTGCTGCTACGACTGTGTGTAAGAACTCCAGACTGGCTATTGGATCTACTGTGTGTTGGCAAGAATCCTAAATACAGCAGGGATTGGGAGAGAGAAAGTCAAAGTTAAATGCAAAACCTAGTGACCATGAAAGTCTGAAGTTTAAGATGCTAATACTCCAGTGATATGCAATGCCTATAAGGCTATTAGCAGAGTCTCCACAGGCCTGAGGGTAGAGACGAGTGTGTGAGCCTTCACCCTCCCGTATGCCTGTCAGTGAGAGCCCCACTGAACAATAGTCACACCTGTGAACTAAAGGTGCAACTATTATGTGAAGAATAACCAGGACTCAAAAAAGAGGGGTGAAACTATTATGTGATGAATTACAGGCAGTATGGCTAGAGAAGACTGGGGATCACAGTCCAAAAAAGGGTGTTTAAAGCTCTGAGAAGAAACATTTCAGAACTATGTTGCCACAAATTGTCCATGTTTGGAGCTTGAGGCAGAAAAATTATTTAAGTAAGTTATGCAAACAGGCAAAAATCTGTATTTATATTACTATCCCACACACCAAACAAGCATTCTGCCCCACAAATAAAGAGAAATATGGTTTTCAACAACAACAAGAAATACAGTAAAGATAAGGAAACACTTTTTAACTATGTTTACTATGAACAATAAAATCCTCAAAAATCAAAACCAGAAATGTGGAGGGACAACTCCACATTTCTGCTAAGCAAGTTCATTTACAGCTCAATTTCTAGAATCTGCCTCTACATTATTCTGTAGTGCCAGAACTAACCTAAGTACCCTGATAGGACACAACTCTTCAAAAGCATTTTGTTCCACAAACCTTTTAAATAGGGAGGAAAGATGTGTAATGGGAGAGGATGCGAGAAAATCATTTATTAAAAATTAATGGCTGCTTGTCACATTTAGATTGTAAATCACAGAACTTAGGCTGCAAGTCTTTGGAAGGCTTATAGATGCATGTCCTTAGCATGCCTTCAACTGGGCTTCTCTGTTTTTTCACAATATTTCTCAGAGCATTCCAAAACACCAATCTCAAATTTCACAAGATCTCATACAGAAACCTTCCTAAGAAGCAAGTGTAAGTCTTCAAAAAAATTCAAAACATTTTCCAAGTCCCGTGACTTACAATTTTTCAATAGAAGGGGGGGGGGGGGGGGGAGACTAACCGGATTTTGTTTAAGCACTACAAACATCCATACAATACTCTGAAAGTCAAACACTACTTCAATTTTACCTCCAGGAATGTTTTTTTAACTGCACTGAAAACAAATGCACTTAAGATTCATTTCCTCTCAATGCAGGAAACTATTTTGGAAAGTTATAAAAATATGTATTCTTAAAACAAAAGACAGCCTCCCAGATAAGTTAAATGGCATTCAGATCTCAGCCCAGAAATGCAACATACTGAATATTCAATATACCTTCTGGAGCATGCAATCCAATTAGCCTTTAATAAGCTGATACTTTGAGAGGGGAAAAAAGCTTACCTGGCTTGTTTCCACACACGGATATTGGCTTTTTTCCTTCAGATTTCAATTTGGAAGCCAGAAGGAATCTCCTAAACCACTCCTCCTTCTCCCTACCAGTCCTTCCAAAAAGATAAAGCATTTGGTCCTTCTGAGTAACAGATTTTGTACCATCCTGAGAGAGTTTCTTGGGTTCCTCGCTGGTTACATCTACTTTTTCAGCAGCTGGTTTCTCTTCTGAGGTTTCCTTATCAGACTGGGCTTTAGCCATGAAGTCATCTTGTCTCGCAAGCTCAAGGCATATAGGATACTTTTTGTTCCAAATTCGTTTCCGAGCCAAACTCTGAGGGACAAGGTGGATCTGGAAGAGTAGTTGTGAGACAGTTTCAGGCTTCACCTCACCATGAAGGTGAAATGATCAAATATATAATCTGTTGCAAATATTTTATTTATTTATTTGACTTGTACTCCCAATTTGGTTTGGAGCCGTTTACAGCAGTAGATTAAAACAATACAATTAACTTTAAAATACAATAAAACAAGAACAAACATAGTCCCGAGTGATTCACCCATCGAAAGCTTATAGGAAAGGTTACTCTCAGCCATAACAGTTTGAAAGAGGCATTGCTTTTTCTGAGTTCCCTCCCTAGAGAAAACTCATCCGTTTTTTCATGGTTCTCTAAAATTTGGGAAAGAACAGACACAGAAGAGCTAATGTGACCTCTCTGCCAACTTCAGATTGAACATCACGATGCTGCTAGTTGCTCTCCTTCACAATGACATAAGTTGTGAAAGCAACAGAAGGAAGGAAGCAAACGGGAAATGCTGAATGAAGCCATACTTCATGAGGCAGGTAATGGCTCATCTTGCAAGGACATGGATTCCTTCTCTAACGGGAGTCGTAGCTCCCTGCTATGCTGGCTAGGAGATTCTGGAACTTCAATCCATTTTTTTCTTGTTCTCTCTGACCAGTAATTTCTGAAATTTGGCACATTCCCTAATTACAACCAGTGCGAACAAAGTCTTACTGTAATATCAAGTGTCCTCAATTCATTATTTACTTCAAACTTTCCAAATAATCTTAAGCATCCATCTCTATTGAGTAAGAGCTAGCTAGAACTGGCTCCAGTGCACCTGAACCTCAGGAATCAAACAGACTGAAATTTTCACTGTGTTCACTGCTAAACAGAATTCTTCTGTTACTACACCAAACACAAAATAGCCTCTAAAGTTACATGCTCTCAGTATACTTGGCACACAAATCAAGCTGCAGACAACTTGCCCATTTTATCTGGACAGTTCTAGTTTTGTTTGATAAAGGGTCATGTGGCTCCTTAAAGAACATTTTTATTATGACATAAGCTTTTGTGAACAAGAGTCTTCTCCTTCAGATACTAAGAGTGATACTTGTATAATGTTCACAGGAAAGTAGTTCTCAGAAGAAGCCAAACTGTTTGGTTTAATTTTGAAAGTGCAATAAGAAAGGAGATAAGGTCGATGGTAAGAGCAGCAATGTTTGGCGTTTCCACTCCTTCAGCTCTTCATGAGAATTGTGTAACTAAGAAAAGGTGACTGAGGGCCCTTCCACAGAACCCAGAATATCAAGGCAGAAAATCCCACAACATCTGCTTTGAACTGGGTTATCTGAGTCTACATTGTCATATATCCCAGTTCGAAGCAGATAATGAGGGAGTTTATTCAACTGTGTGGAAGGGCCCTCAATTATCTTTCTCTTCTTCCCAGCCAATCTCTTTTCTTTTTTTGTCATGTATTAGATTATTAAATCCAAAGACACAGACTATATTATTACTGATCTTTCTACTCTGGAAACATTCTTTAGCTGAAAAGAAGAGCAAATATCCTCCAAAGAAGTCCAATATATTTTTAAAAATACAATTTTATTTTTTGCCTTTCTCCTGACTCAAGGAGGCTAATTCCATTCCCTAAATGAAATTCTGCTTAGGATAAGAAGTCTGACATCACATATGAGAATAGTATGTGTGGATATGCTATTCTCAATTAATTATATTCTATTGATTAACCTAGAACTCATAACTCATTCACTGAAGCATGCAACTTTAATGTTCTGAAATATCCCACTTTTTTGCTTTTAATTCTTAAGTCCATTTCACTCAGGTATACAAATCTCCATGGTGGATAAAGAGAGACCCCACAGGCAGCATATATCTCCCTTCTTAGGCCCTTAGAAATCCTCAAATGTTAACTATTAAGAGTTTTTGAGTGTATTTTTATTTTAAAAAAATAACTTGTGACATGGTTTAACTTCAAGTTTTGCTTTGTTCCTTGATTTACTAACAGCCTCCCACATTGGTGCCTAGATGTCTCAGTGGGTATGTCTTAAGTATTTTTAATTTTTTAAAAATTAAAAAGTTTTTTTGAAAAATCTTATGGTGAAAGGGTTGTCCTCCAAGATCACACAAGAGGACAACACAACCCCAAACTTTGGACACTTGCTGATTTATGATCAAAACATAAAGACTAAAGCTATTAAGAGAGATGAGGAGAGAAATGAATATTTATGAAAATATAGACAGTGTTACAGGTTTTAGTCCTTTTTACATATGTGTAGCAAGATGGGGAAGGAAAGCAGCATTAAAAAAAACACAAGGGCAAGACTAGATATTGTGACAGACACATGGGATTTTCTACTTGGCTGCAATCCATGTCATTCAAAATAGCCTCATCTGCTTTTGGATGAAAAATCTGTAACTGACCAAAAACAAAACAAAATTCAAACTACATTTCACTGCCAAAGGGAATCACCAATCAAGTTTCAGTAGAGCTCACCTTGCTGTCTGTAAGGTCGTAAATTTTCTGGCTAACATATGTTACTTCAGGCTTGGCTTCATTGTAAATAGCCCTTCTGGAAATATTTTTGTTGGGTTTTGAAAGTCTCAGTGTGTTTCCTTCTAGCCTTACAAAGACCGAGTGAGTCAATGTAGCATGATAGGTTTCTGGATCATAGTTATAGATCTCATTCATCCAGCCCTAAAAAAGGAAAAGAGACAATTATTTGTTAATAATGACTCCTAAGACAAATTAGAAATAATAGCCACAAAATATGTACAGAATATCGTCTGCGACAAAACATGTGAAATCAGAGAAGATTAGAGCAGAATAACAAGTAGGCACGAGAATCTGAAAGAAGTCCAAAGGGACTAATTTAAAAGTGGACTACTTTAAAGGCAGTTTGCATGTTGGATGACAACACTCAGACATGGAACCCGACCAGGTGGTAGTGGGTGAGTCACACATTTGCGGCCCCAGAAAACCCACGATAGATTTGCTACAGGGCCACCCTGAGTTGGAAACGCAAGAAAGGTACACAACAACAGTCTATATGCAGTCCTTTTTGTGGTCCTCTTAGACTTCTTCATAGTACCACAGCCCCCAAATGTGTAGAAAAGGTATTCCCCAGGGGCCCTCTTGGTGTAAAACAAATTAAGCATAGTGTTTGATGGCATGGGATAAGTAGATGTTGCTCACTCCTGTACTAAGTAATACAAGACTGATGATGGGGCTGAGATGATTAATTTGCCCCAAAACTGTAAGAATCTGGAATGTGCAAAAGGCAGGTAAACAACACACTGGGATTCTTGCTTGCTTAATCCTGAATATAAATTAGAGCACAAGAACAACTGGAGGAAAGCGAGATTTCTCCTCCATCTCAGGAATTGTCTGACAAAACAGTGAAAGACAAACATCCGGGAACCTAGCTCTAGTTATTTTCTTCCCCTTATCTCATTTTCAGGATACAACCGTGAATGGCATACTTTCCTTACACTGGGAAACGATAATTCTGACATTTCTAAAAGCTGAGGTAGGTAATAAATGGTCTTCCAGCATCTCTCTGGACTGGAACTCCTACCTGTTTAGCTAAAGGTCTAAAGTTACAGATCTAATGGTATTTGGGGACTCATGTTCTTCCCTGCTAAATTTTCTTTTCAGCTATGCTACAAAGCAAAGCGCAGCAACACACTGTTGTACAGACTGAGCCACATACATGCAAGGATTGCATCTGTGATATTCAAAGAACTGATGACTGCTGCACAAAATCATGGGGACTGCTCACTTTGCAAAAGTTCATGTCTATCTAACTATAGTTGGGAGAAAGCCAGTCCCTGGATGTATGAGTTCTTCCATAAACTGGAATAACCTGTCTATTGCAAGGATAGCAGAAGTGCAATACAAAGACAAAATACTTAGCAACAGACAAGGTTCAATAAAAGTAGACCCAAAACGTCAGTGTGGCAGGCAGTTTGAATATTGCCCTAAGATTCCAGTAGATACCAAGGTTCAAATCCTGGCTAAGCCATGGAAAACCCATCACACTTTTTCAGTGTGAGACGAATACAATGGTAAACCCCCTCCAACAAAATCTTGCTAAGAGATATGATAGGGTCACCATAAATGGAATAAGACTGAAGATACATAACAACAGACAGCCAGATACAGCAGGAAATGAAATGAGTAGATGATGTATATTTTGCTAAAACCTACTTCATTTGATACAGCTATACACAAATACAATTCATGCCAGGTTCCAGCTGCTCTCTCCCTCTTTTTCTTTTCAGTTTTCCTGGCCTTTCTTTCCCTTTAACTGGATAATGGAATTAGAAGAGCCCCATGCTGTTCTACTGATTCATTTCACACCTGATGGTTCAGGTTTTATGGTTAGAATAACAGGATTAAGTTCTGCCAGCTTGACCACACTAGAACTCCATTTCACTCCTTTGTTTACTTCACCAGCAGGGGAAAACAGCACCTCCATTTCATGGGTGCATTTCATACCGATGTTTTAATAAGTACCCAATGTGGAGTCAGGTGTGTGGAGGATGTGGGAGAGAAAAACCAGACCCTTTCAGAGCACCAAGCTCAGTTCTTTACTGGCACTTACTAATCTCTCAAAGAACAAAGGGACATTTTTCTGTTTTCCCTGCATTATTAATGACGAATTTGTGAACAATGCTAGTTTGCACCGAGACCACTCCACAACCACTTATATAAATACGCACTTCTTTTGTCAGGTGTGTCTAGGCTAGCAAAGAAAAGATTAAGGAGATAGACACATAAGAACAGCTTTCATAAACAAAGGGTTATCATGCTAAAAATTGAGCAGATCTGTTCTCTGCTGCTCCAATGCGAAGGGCTAGGAGCAATGTGTGGAAATGGAAAGGAACAAGATTTTAATACAGTGGAATATAATATGAGGCTATTCCTTGCTGGAGATATTTAAGGAAAGGCATTCTGTTGCATTCAGCTTTGCACACTGAACAAGAGGTTCGAATAATTGGCTTCTAACTCTATGGCTAAAAACCTTCCTTTTTAATGAAATTTGTGAAACCAGAAGTTTGTGGCAAACTCTTCCTGAGTCATGTATCTGAATTGTTCCCCCTTGGTTCTGAGTACAGAAACTATTGGAAGCAAGCAGGAAGACTAAGCATATCCTCCAATGTATCTTGATTTGGAGGAGTGTTCAAAGATGTACACCAGCCCAGAATCTAATGGAAAACCACACACTCCAGGCAGGAGTCTGTAACTTGTTTTGCTAACCATTCCGCCAAGGAAACACCACCCCAAATATGTATTAAGGGAAAATTGTGTGAGGAGCAAGCTGGCTAAAACACTGCTGGGTGGAGTCACCCGAGCTTCTCCATCCTGCAACCATCAAAGAAGGTCCCCACTAATAGTTTCATTGAGGTTTGAGGCTGTGTATTGCTCATACAAGGTAAACAGCAGCTCCCTGCACCTGTAGTGCATAATCATGGCAAAGGTTTAAGTCTGTTTGACAAGTCATTTGAAGAACCAATGGTAGTTTCTGATAGCTCCCTTTAAAGGGGATGATAGGGATTATTTCAGTAGTTTGGATTGTGCCCTCCTCTCCTTTCCTACAGAAGAAATATCTGGGAAGATGGCTGTTTTCAAACAGAGCAACCGCCATACCTGAGTGGCACAAGCTGTTCTGAGAACATGTACAATTAGAGCAAATTAGAAGAATAGTAAAGAACCCTATGTAGAGGCTGACTGTTTATCTGAACTCACTCACTGCTTATCCAACATAAGTCGAAAATGCTGTTTCAGGTATAATGTGAAGTTCACATTCCACAACTCTCAGGAGGTTTCACCCACTTTAGACTTGAAGAAGGATGACTTCAGTAAACTTAGGGAAAAACTGACTGTGGCCCCATGGTCAGGAAGACTAAGAGAGAAAGAGGTTCACAGATTAAGTTCTCTACTGGAAAATGGGAGGTCTGAAGTTGTGATGTAAACAGTTTAATTTTTAGTACTATTGTGTTTCTCTGAGGTTTCAAGCCAGCATAAATGTGAAGGTTGTACTGGTCCTATTGGTAAGTATTCTGTCCTAATGTGGGCGGAATGCTATCCATGGATACTCAAATATATGAATCATTCTGAGTGACACATGCACCCCTGATAAATCTGCTTAAGGAGATAGCAAGCACATTATGCAAATCCAAACAAGATAATAAGTGACAGACATCTCACAATGCATATCCAGCATTAAATGTAATCTAAGCTCCAAAACGAGCCACAGGAGATTTATTTTCATATCTGTCCTCTTTGGGTGAACAGAAGGTAGCAGCCAAATCTTAATATGCAAAGGTGCACATAAAGAAGTTATACAGTCAAAAACACCTGAAAGGTTTGGCATTGCCTTCTTTCCAACATTTCTAGCTATTGGTCATAATGCCTGGGGCTTAAGCATCTGGAAGGCATCTGGTTGTCTACTCCTGTTATTAAGTGCAGGTCTTGCAGATCAGGTCTGAGACCTATTTTCTTCAGTATCCTGTTCCTCACAAGAAACCACCAAATGCCTATAACCAAAGTCCATCAAAGGGATTTGGAAACAATGCTGTGATTTTGACAACCTTTATAAAATTGGAGATTCTGCATATATGAAGCACAGAAAAAACCAAATAAAGGATCAATAACACATTATGAGGAAGAATAGTCTCATTACTTCAAGCAAGGAACAAAACAGAGCCCCATTCCTTATACCAAGGCGAGGCAACTATGGTCTACTCGTTATTTTTGGCTTATGCTGAGGAGTTATGGGATTTGCACCCCAAAAAATTATGAAAGGATAGCAGTTTCTGTCATTTACCTACCTAGAAGCTAGGCAGACTGTCAGCTGATCATTGCATCAAAACTGGACAAAGGGGAATTACCTGTTAGAACATATCTAGAGAAGGGAGACCAAAATGATCAAAGGTTTGGAAACCAAGCCCTATGAGGAGTGACTTATGGAACTGGACATGTTTAGCTTGGAGAAAAGGTGGCTGAGAAGAGATATGACAGTCATGTTTAAATATTTGAAATGTCATATTGAGGAGGGGGCAAGTATTTTTTTCCACTCTGTAGACTAGAATAGAGAGCAACTGATTCCACCTAGACATTAGGAAGAACCACCTGGTGATAATAGTTATTCAGCAGTGGAATATGCTGCCACCTCGGAGTATGGTGGAGTCTCCTTCTCTGAAGGTTTTTATGCAGAAGCTGGATAGTCATCTGTTGACAGTGCTTTGTGTTTTTCCTGCATGGCAAAGAGGTTAGACTGGATGGCCCTTATGTTGGATGGCCCTTGAGGTCTCCTCTATGATTCTATGATTCTAGAGCAGCAGACTAACACAAGAGAGTCAGGGGAAGCCACATGGCAGTGTTGCTTTCCAAAATCTTGCCACTACTTCTGCCAACATAAGGCAGTGCCTAGCTCTACCTAACAGCAAGGCAGATCCTGTTAAATGCCTGGCCTTTTCTCCCTACAGTGGCAAGATGTCTGGCAAAAATCTGTTCAGAAAACCTAAAGCAATTATCCAAGCATGATGATATCCCCTGTGGTTAATATACATCAGACCCATCAATAATACCAATCATTATTTTAAAAGCTATGCTTCTCAAATGCTGTTAAGGAGAAAAATCTGTGCCCCCCACATTTTGTATGGCAATTGCAGCAAATTTAAGCTGCCACC